TAGCGGGGGGGGATAAATTTTTGACAACAAAGAATATTTCATATGTGAGCGGGAAAGAAAGTACTCGGTATATACCCTAAGGAAACAAGGCGAGCAAAGAAAAGCAAAGATGTCCGGGCCGTGATTAAGGCTTTTGATTTCTTCTGCTCAACATTATGATGAATGAGCCCGAAGCAGCATTCAATTTTGAATCCCCCCACAAGTCCCCTGACACCACAAGTTGGATACACCACTGGGTCTGCTCTTAGCTTAGCATGAAAGCCCCGAACAACTACCAAACAACAGTTCTTGGCATCAAGTCTGAGACTTCTAATGCAGTGCGCGTGCGCTGTATAAGAACAAGCATGTGCAAAATATAAAATATATCCTTGCTGTGTTTCAGTAACAATTAATGGAAGTATTGATTCTTCTAAGGTCCATATATTGTTTGTTCTCCTTCATTAAATAAGATTCCTCGTTTTTCTGCAGTGATATTGGTAGCAGTAGCGTATCCATCTTTGGTGTTCAGCAGTGGAGCGGGGGCAAATTCAAAGGCGGTCCGGAAATCCTTGCCTTCAAAATCCATTCCACTTTTCATAAGCCCAGGTATGATGAGATCGAGTCCTGCTCACATATACGCTTTCCTGTCGAGCTTCGGATCCATCGTCCCCTCCTGACTCCATAGGAAGGCACACGATGGTAAACAAAATCTTGACGTTATCAGTCCAGAGGTATACAGAGGTTCTTGGGATGCGGTCGCTATCCTCCTCCGTCTGGAAAACAAATTCGAAGTTAAACTACATGTTGTTAGTTGAAATTTACATCAATTTACTAATTGAATGTGTCACCGAATTTGGACGCTGATGGTGGTTGCATGCCATGGGACTATCTCAGTCTCATAATTTATGCTAGGTATCTTAGAAGTTTATGTGTATCAAATCACGAAGTCAAATAAAGACTGAAATGGGAGTCTTTGTTGTAAACAGGACACCGGGCTTTTCCGCGTTTTTTAAGTTTTACTAAAAAGTGCATTATTCCTTGTAGACCTTTACATGTTAGGAGAAAATGTTCAGGAAGACCCTGGACACTGTAACTAAATCTTGAATCTGGCTTAAGTTTACAAGATTGCGAAATCATTACATTACTAATCTTATTACTAATTCATAGAGACGTTGACGATTCGGAAAGGCTACTAAGAGTCGGTCCGAAGGTTTTCGAATAGTTCACCTGTTCTGAAGGGTGATTCACTACAAAACATGCAGATTCTTTCTGTATCACGGGCAAAACTCCCTCGAACAATCAAAGGACGCCGACAGCGGCAAAAAAGTCTTGTAAAACTTATTATCTATCGGTTTTCAGTCACTGCCCAGATTATTTTCAGGTGTTTTTAGAAGTTCTTTAAAACTTGGGTTTATCATTCTACGCAGAATGTTGCCTGCTAAATTCATTTCTGCATCAAGCTGCTCAGCTGATTTACCCTTATTTTAATGAATGTTCAATAAAAAAATCAGTTTTTATCTTAAACCTCTGATATCTAGTTTTAATCCACCGAAGGGTAGATTTAATACGATACCTAGATATTTAGTCAGTTATCCTATTCAGAATGAAAGTATAAAACAAACAAATCGATTTCTATGGATTCTCTAATAGATTTCAGATTCATCAAAATAGTACTTTTAATAGGATATCCGTATAATTCTTCCCCTCTTTCCAAAAAAATATACAAGGAAAAACATTACTTATATTTCTTGAGGTAAAAATCTTGAAGAGCTAAAGAAATATTCTGCTGTAAATCCCCGAGCCAATTTAAGAACAAAAAGTGAACATCTTGCGTCTTTTGAGGGGTCGAATAAATACTCCGAAGATGGCGCGGGCAAAAACCGCGTACAAACTCTGTTTCAGAGGCTGAGTTTAGCGATTATACTCTATCGGTTGAAAGGGACAGATCAATTGCAAAAGTGCCCTTGAGAGGCCGTAAGAGGAACAAAGAGGCTGCCTGAATGACGGCCATCAATGGTGAATTTCAAGGATCCTTCCTATACAAACGTCTATCACGGAGGCCTTGAGCACAAGTTTCTTTCCAATTAAGCCAAATGTCATTTTTAATTTGGTTGAGTTATCAAGTTAATGGCAGAGGCATATCTCTCTTTAGCGAGAAACGAAATTAGAATTGACAATTAGATCTTTTTTGGGAACGCATTTTCAATTTAGAATCTTCGACAGATGAGCATCCACCTTCATCTCTTCTCTGCCTTCAATTGGAATGTTGTCAACTTGCCCAGAACAGAACCAGTCGTCCTTCTCGACAACAATTTCACAGTTCAATTTCTGCGGTTCGTCAAAAGAAGAATGACTATAGACTTGAAGTCAATAGACTGTATTTTAATTTAATCATCAATGTGTACGCATTGTGCATGTTTTAGTTAGCAAGGAGAAAATGTTTCTATCTCTGGTATCACTTATGCTCTAACCAGCAGAGAACAAACTGGGGAGATGTCTCTAGGACAATGGATTGTGTTTACCCTTGACTGTAACACGACCTTTAATGGTTTACACTGACGTGTCAATATAAACCCTTACGCAAAAGTATCTACAAAACATTCAAATTTATCAGAACCAGAACAATAAGGTACACAAGCCGTACACGGACTCGACATTTTTAAAACATTTGTATCTTGTATGCAATCAGCATACGTCAGGCACCAGCAAATAATGTGCACATTTAAACGAAATTCCCCTCTAGAACTATGCAACAAATATTTTTGAATATGTACAGCTTTCTTTTACAGAACCTCTGTATTGGTTTCTCACCAAAGCTTTAGTGAAGGTCAAAATCTTGTGGCGCACCCGAAAATAAAAAATATTACGCCGAAATCACTATATATGATCGCTTTATTGATAGAATGCATAGACGGAGTTTTTGCCACTCTGTTCTCCGTGTTTTACAGAAAACATGTCAATACAACAATGAATTAGAATGTGCTGATCAACAAATAAAAAGCGCTCTGTGCTAATTTTCAACAAACGGCTCGACTTTACAATATGAATTTTGAAATGATCCTGATTTCTGGAGTGCCGTGTAAATTTGCCAACACGGTACATTAAATGAATGGACGGAATTAGCTAAAAATCAGGCAACATACAAAACGTGTCTTTCTAAACGGGTAGGGTATTGTGATTCTGCTGGTGGCGTGCCAGACCAAATTACCAAAGATGGTAGATGGACGCAATGTTTAACGAAAATAATTACACTTTAGTTTACAATTTAATTTGCAGGATGGCAAAATGACACTAGCTAGAAATTTGAATAGTTAATGCTGAAGAATGTACAGTTATGTTGTACAGCTTAACATGACAAGAAAATGCAAGATTTCAGCGCTTACTACCACACTGCAATTTGGAGTCAAGGGTACCAGCGTATACGTAGCCATCTCAATGATTGGGTCCCTTTTTCGGGTATGGAGTGTGAGGTTCGTTTTGGGCTTACCCATCCTTTTGTGGGTAGGCTCTTATTTATTTACAGAGAAATTCTCTCCTCTCCCGTGTGGTCCCCTGTTTAAAGACAAAATCAAAAGCACTTCGCTTTTCCGGCTGTGTGGATGGTCTCCCATGCCGCCCTGCTCAGTGAAGCGACCACTTTGGGAAGCACCCGCAGAGACTGTTTGGTTTGAGGGTATGATGCACGTCGGGAGAACGACAGTCAGCTGAAGATCGGTCATGGCTTAGGAAAGGGGGGGAGGCGTTCAACGGACCTCCGATGGATTTCGGCTCTCGGTGTTGTCCAAGGCGATATTATCAAGCCTGCAGCTGGCCCTATAAATGGAGCAGCGTCATTTGCAGTTAGGGGCCGGCTGTCGGCGAGTCTGTAGCTGCGTCCTCGCTACGGCCAAGTTTGTGTGCGTGGTGTTCAGGCTCCATTTCCTCGTCAAGGTTTCTTCGACCTCGTTTCTGTCTTTTGGTTCGGTGCCATCCTTTTGGTCTTTTCCCCCTGTTTCGAGTTCCAGCTGATCCAAGCATATTGAGTAGGTGAACAGTCCGACAGCTTTGGTAAGTGACCCCGACTAAGTGTGAATAATGACATGAGTCTGAATTCTAGACTTGCGAACATGTGTGCCAAACCGGTTGTAACTTTTGGAGAAAGCGGTAGTGCCGTTATCTTTTTTAAGAGCTCTTTAACATCGTGTCACTAGACGGAAACTGTTTGGCATTGTTCCTTCCCTCTACCTGTAACTTCCAATAGGTCACCCAGGCGCGCCTGCCTATGAGAATTCATCTCCAGACATGCGCTTAGATTTCCACAAAAGGATTACATTTTCCAGATGATGATTGTCTGGTTCGCTAAAAGCATTGCGATAAAGATTACACCCACAACACACTTCTTTCAGATTGTTTTCAACATTTCCTTCATTGGATAGATTGATGCTCTTGTTACATTAGTAAGTTCCTTTGGTAGAGCTGCGTTTATAATGCGACAGGTGCACCCTTTTTGATCCACATATAGATCGTAATCAGTTCACATTTTTTTCAAACTTAAAAAAGCCTTCCGTTTGTTTTAAATGATCCAGTTTGGCTTTCAACTCTATGGGAACGAAAATTTAAGAATACATTTTGAAGAACTTTTGTGAGTTCCGGTGGTGGAAAAGAATGGTGCTTGATCATGGAAATCTGTGGAAATGTTAACCTGAAGATTTAACACGTTCCATTCGCCCATACCATCAACACCCATACAAAAATACAAAACTGCAGCTACTATTGCCCACGGCTGGTTTGCAGGTTGAGTTAGTCTTGACGCCTCTCTTTCCATTGACTTTCTCACATTAAAAACAGACAAACTTAAAAAGAAAAAAAAACAAAAAAACGAACGTCCACCACCGAACGTCACCCAACAGTCATGTCCGTCAAAAAACAGCAGAAGAACGGCATTGATGGTATACAATAGCAAAAGCACATGCAGGGGAGAAAGGAATTGAAACCAAAGGCAAACAAATAATCAAGCGAAATTACAGTAGAACGTTTATGATTCCATTTATTGGCTAAAAAACTCCCGAAAATCACATGCATAATTTTACATTCCTCAAGAAGACGTCCCATGCAAGGCCACTCCAATTTCCGCGTCTTTGACGAAGACATTGAAAGAGAAGTTAGGAAAGACGAAATCTAATCTCTCTGTCATCTTGTAAAGAAGTAAGACTAATTGTGAAAATCCACCGATATCCTGGTGCACTCACAGAGAGCTTTTAAATTGAAAGTCAGAGTTTACACAAATGGAACAGTCTAAATTTTTCTCTTCAGTCCTTAGTGGAAAATGTAACCTTTTACTTTGTTGACAGAGAGACCCACAGAAGGTCTCTCATGACTGGAATAGAAAACAATAAAAATGGATTCAAATCCGCTAAAAGGAATTACAGTCTACAAAACTCAGAGGGGTATTTTGCATTCTCCCGACGGACAGTCTTTCCTTTACTTCCTGTCTCCACGTGTTTCGAATATACGCACCATGACATCCTGCTTTTAAGGAGGATATTTATATAGAACACAGGGAGCAGGACGAGAAATCGAACTGAGGAGGACGTCGATTAGAAATATCGTCAAAAACAGAAATGACAGCTGCTGTGAATAGATCCGGAAAAAATCGCTGAAGGAATAGCACACTGCCCTCGATACAGCCATAATTTACGGTGAACTGAATGAGAGAACTGAAAGCTACCTTTCATGCATTTTTTTTATCTACGATCAAACTGAAATGTCTCAAAAGCCAAAGGCGTCGATCCCTTTGAGATATGGCTATATCTCCTTACTAAATTTGAACTGCGGGATGGAACGCTCTTCCGCCGATAAAGATATTATAAAGATGAACAGGTAGCATGTAATAACAGCCTTCAACCCCGTACACTTTTCAAATTTCGAAAATATGGGACTTCATCATCCTTCCACTTTGCCCTTTGGAGTTTATGCCCCTGTAACAGAAAAAAAAGCGCGCTCGGAGATCAGAAAACAACTTATTTAACTGACATTGTGCGGAAATTATGCTTGAATCAGAAAACACGCAAGCATGAGTTTCACTAAAAGCTTGGACTGATAACATTTTTGCTCGCAATTTGTCTTTGGTCGTGTGTCAATCGCTATTTTTCGCTACTCATTTACAATCCAAATGATGCTCTCTCCACTATGCGCTACTAGTGTTTTAAACAAAAGAACATGATAACGCTACGTATTACACAAGGTCAGATGCAAAAAGAGGAAAACATAATGGCGTTAATAATTGAAGACATTCTTTGTGACGGTTTTAAGTAGGAAAAATATATGGAAAGGCAAACTTGTAACCAGAAAAAATTCACATGAACTCTTATTTAAGTAAACTATTCTAGTTTGTGTCTCTACGCTTGTAAGTTAAGGAAAGATGTTATGCTAAATCTAAAATTGGAAACGTTTCTTACCTAACGATGGTCAAATAACAAGACGGTGTCAGAGTCGCTTTCAGCGCATGATTTTACCTCCAGGCAAGATTTGGTTCGATTATTTCTGTCTTTAGTTTTCGTGTATCAAAATACATGTATGTCATTTTGAAAAATGTTTGCTTCTAGCCAGTTGAGTGTGAATTTTATTTCAGAAATAGATAATTTAAGCTGTATTGTTTGTAACAATACAGTCCTTCCTCAAATTCAGAGGGGAAAAAAGTACACTTGGTGCATTTCCCTTAGGGATTAGTTGTCTTTGTCCCTGACGAAGGATGCAAACAGCCCCCCCTTTTCAATGAGGGCGCTAGGAGCTCCGTACTCAGCTATTCCTCCTTCATCGAGGACCAGAATGTTGTCCGAGTTCAAGATGGTGGTGATGCGATGCTGTTCAATCCAGAAAAGAAAATGCATCTTGCATGAGTGTTAGAGTATTGAAGGCAGCATCCAAATCTCTTGGATGGGCATTCAAAATTACATACGAATTTATGCGAACTGGCTGCGGCTACTACCATAGACTCAAGCCGAATTTCTAGCCGCAGCCAAGTAATTCAGACATGGCCTTGTGCCCCTTAAGGAATCTCTATACATCAAGGCATGTTGCTCCAAAGAGGCATTTGATAAGACTGCGGCATGCTGGGTTACCCCCTTTATTGGAAAAGCAATAAGAAACACGTAGAAACCGTAGACGGCCTTGAAATTCAGTCTTACTTCGTGCATGTCTTCTATATTTGCAATGTAACACAGGCCTAGGCTATATTTTGTTGTCTGTTTTTTTAAAGCTATATTAATAGTAAACCTACCGCAATGGTTAGTACAGTTCGATCAGCAAAAGCTGTGGCCACAACGTTTTGTAGAATCTTGTCCTGTGCGGATAATAAACAGAAACCCTCGATTGAACTTCTATAAGATATGACCCCCTTTGGAGATATGATTAATCGAATACTAGTCGTACGACGAGAAAATCTGAGATGTGTATCTAAACTGAAAACTACGAAGCTAATAGGTTCGCACCGTCTCTAAGTCGATGGAGGCGGTAGCCTCGTCCATGATGAGGATACGAGACTTGCGCAGGAATGCGCGAGCCAGACAGAACAGCTGCCGCTGACCCACGCTGAAATTCTCTCCACCCTCAGTCACCTCAGAATCTGAGAATAAAACCAATTGCACGCGTCGGAATTAAAAAAAAAACAAGCGAAATAGCGGAACCAAAGTTGCAATCGCCTAATGGCGGCGCCAGCATTCGCTTCAACATTGCAGGAATTTAAAGATGAAACCCCAGTGGGCTTCCTGCATAAGTTCCCTTTTAGCGGCTTGGTCGACCCCTTATGTAACATAGTTGCCGTACGGCATGCTCACAAAACCACAGACCTCCGTCAGAAATCTGGGTAGGGCTCAGTGACTTTCTTAAGTTTGGCACACTTTTAGATGCGAACAGGTCGTGCATTTCTGCCATAATACAGTGCGCACGCTGGTGTTGGCAGGTGTCTCCCTATCTGCAATTATGATGGAATGTCATATTTTTTTCACTTTGCGCGTTCTGTATATAAACTTTTTGGTCTGTTTGGTATCCACACCTGTTATATGCGTTTTACTATTACTCAATGCAGTTTCAAGGAACTCTCTGCGCAACTTACGCATTCGACATGTGCTTAAACGCCTGAAGAAAAATGGCGCCATTGTACGCATCGCTACTGGCCCAGGTTCTGCATGGCTTCAACAGCGGAGGACTATTATAGGAGGTGTAAGTAAGACCTACAAGCACACGTACGTTGCACTATTATACGCTGCTGATTTTGTTCATAGGGCCGTCTGACCAGGAGACATAGTGTGTGATAACACAACGCCACCGATCATTAATAAGTCCATGAGCCCAAAGAACTATTACACAGACACCCTTAACCAGAACTTTCCAAAGAAACGAAGAGACGCATTCTAGAGTCAAAAGAAATCTAAAACCAAATCACAAACGGCTTACCTAGACCGCTATCCAATGCAGTCACGACGTCTTTGAGTTGAGCAATTTCTAAAGCGGACCACAACTCCTCATCGTTGGTAATATGGGCTATCGGGTCAAGATTCTTCCTGTATGATCGAGAAAGCACATCAAAACTACGCGGAATGACAACAGTGCAATAACCATCATGGTATATTGCAATTTCAAAGACTGAAAAGGATTACCTTATTGTCCCTGTAAAAAGAACAGGATCTTGAGGTATGATTGATATTTTGCTCCTCAGAGTTGTCAAAGGCACAGTCATGATGTCTACGCCATCAATCAGGATGGTACCTGTTCAAGAGGGTAATCAGAAATGACGTAAGTTTCAGTTTGTGTCCTCTTGTGTGATGAACAATAGTACAAGACGCTGCCTCCTCCTTTACATAGTTCAAGACTGCAGCTGCCTTGCTGCCAGCAACGTCTGTTGTATGTGCTCTTAGAAAACGAACGAAATACAATGACTTCAGAGCATCCTGATCGAATTAGTATCCTTTATAGGAATGCATAAATTATTATTCGCTACATTTACGAAATAGAATTTTAATGCTGGTAATATTATGTCTTGTTACTGACAAGACACTGAAAATTTACCGTCAAAGATGTCAATAACACGAAGCAAAGCGAGTGTGAGGGAAGATTTGCCGGCCCCAGTTCGTCCACAAACGCCAACCTAATAAAACATGAGATACAAAATTTATCCCATATGGATAGTCTTAAGGGCTAAACCCATAATTAAAAAAAAATAGAAAATAGTTCGGGGTACCCACTGCTAAATCTGACTTGGACCCCAGGAAGTTCAGTGGTCGAGTGGTTAAACGTCAGCATTAGAAAACAGGACGTCGTGGGTTCGAGTCCCCCCGGGTAAGCTTGTGATTTCTTTCGCGAGCTCTCGAACAACACTGAAGACACAGTGTTATGAATAAAACGGATACACGTTCAACTTTTCATCGCTTCTGATGAAAAATGGTTCATTTTTTGTCTTAGTCTATCGAATATGTTAAAAAGAGCCATGGACACTTACCTTTTCCCCGGCTCTGAATTTCACGGAGACATCATTCAAGACTGGGTCAGTGTTTTTGGCGTAACGCGCCGAGACGTGTAGCAGTTCGATGTGGCCGCGCTGAGGCCAGTAAGCAGGTGGCTCGGTACCTTTTACGGACAAACAGCTAAGAGTAAGAACTTGCAAAACATTCCAAGTGACAACGCATAAACATCTTGACATTGGTGGTTTACATAGTTTGTTGGGTATTTCCACGCGCAGCGAAAACTGTGTGTTGACTCGGTGCTGAATCTACACCATCGGTATCCGTGTAGGGCAGCGCTATCTGGTGTTGTTCGAAATGGATGTCTTAAGGGGGTTATTTAAGACAGCAGCTTTGGCAGTGTATTCGGTCTGCAATATTGTGTTTACACTATTGAGGGATTAGAAATTTCCGTATCCGCTCTGTGAAAGACACTTCAACAAACTCAGAGCAGGTGTTTGATAACATCGCCATAATCAAGATGTTACACTATTTTGCAGTCAGGTCTAGCATAAGACCAGACTGCAAAAATAAAACCTTCTTGATACCTACCATCGTATGGCTCGTTCTCTTCAAAGGTGTAGTGCTTGATTCGCTCCACAGCGTTCATCTGAATCTCCAGCTCAGCAATGGCTCTCACGACCATGTTCAAAAACGTGGCCACCTTGCCAGTCAAAACCGAAAAACAAACAAAATCATCGAAAAGTCAGACCACGAAAGTATCTCTCTGCTCCAGCCTGCCAATCTCTTCCTAAGGTGAAAATACATCTGAAGCGGAAAAAAAAGATCAGAGATATGCTCAGCGTAAATCCGCTGTGAACTCTATCCAAGGTTAAAGTCTTTAAGTAGATACTTAGTTTCACATGCGTGGTTTCTACACATCATCACAAATGACAAGGACCATCCATTGAACGATCATTATTAATTACAGAAATGAGGCTGTTTGACTAAGAAGCTTCACGTGTGGCATATGTCGACACCCGAATGGTGTATCGTTCCTATCAGATTGTTTAAAATAAAGCGAACTCCTATAATTTTGTTTGATAGGTTCCAAGCACTTGGAAAGAGCTGGGCCATGGTTGTGTCTTGGTGAGATCGAGACATTAAAACTTTCCTTTCTTATTAATACCACTTCTATTTTAATCACTATAAAGACTTTTATAATTCAGCTGAATTCTAGTTAATTTTTCTCTAGGTATATTGGACTCAAAACATTCAAAGACCAATACAGGGAAAATGTGGTTGAATGTAGTCCCCAGGCTCCCCATTAATAATACCTGAAGTGAGTATGAGACAGCTAGTCCAACGAGGCTTGGATCCAGATCGATTGTGATGGCGCCCACTAGCGTTATCATTCCAGCCAGAAAAACGAGTGTAGCAGCAACAAAGTCCTGAAACGGAGAAAAATAGAACAAGCAAATGTCTCTTTTTTTACCATTATTTTGATGGGCGTTTTTCCAATGAATGCTCGTCGATTCTTTTCCAGAAATTTCAACAGTCCAAGAACAAAACTTGAAATAAGATGCAAAGCTAAAACGTTTATATACTCATTCATATCAGTACACAACTTACTTTGTAAAAATCCGTAGATAAGATTTCTTCAAAGATCGATTAGAATCATACCATTTGTTATTGATTAGGTAAAGCAATGATAATGGCTTTGACCGTCGACAAATTACACTGCAGTGTTTAAAGTTACTTATGGGGGCCCGTTGAAGTAAATCTGTGGTCAATGTCTGTACTTACTAGCCGGAGGCCAAGCCAGCGGGTTGCTACCTGGAGATACAAGAATGCTGCCAGATTCGTGTTGATTCGTTCAATGACGGTGTTGTAAAATCGCTCGCCAGCCCTGTTGAAAAGGGTCAAGCTCAATCATTTCAACTATGTGAAGATTATCCCTTCTAAAATCTCCCCAACTAACACATCGAACAAGTTTTTCACGGCGTGCAGCACCTTGTTCAGCTTATGTTTCTTTCGAAAGTGTTCGGTATTTTAGAAGATGCCAACACTCACCACCATTCGTAGTCTTGCTAGAACACTATGGAACGTCATGAGCTATGATACTCGTGAAGCGGTGGATCCAGCACTTAGACAGATGGGAACTGACTTTTTAACTTAGCTTGTCATCGCTTTGGGTGAGATCCAGGTATAAATTCATGAAATTGTCCCCAGCCATATAGTGAGAAGCGGTGTCAGCCTCCCCCATCTCTGCTACTGCTTCCATACTTACTTATAGGCTCGAATGGTCATCAGCCCTCCAAGACTTTCAGAGAAATAGGCGAAGACAGGCGACTTGCTGATGCTGTCCAGCCGTTGCAGTTCTCTATAAAACAATTAATAGGATATAATGTAGTAAGGACACAAAAACTCCACTTTCCATGGACGGTACAGAGATTTCCAAATGATTGGCTGTTTTCCGGCATGACTACTCATGAGGTACACGTGACTCATGAGCTACTCATGACTTGAATAATTGTGTACTGGGGCGGTCTTAAACGTCAGTTAAAGACCAACCAAGCACATATTTATTCCCATTCCTAAATACCATTCTAGTCAGAGAGTCAAAGGAAATCAGCACTTTTACTTTAATTTCCCCAAACACCCCCGTCCATGTGATGATATATTCCTTGTGCAGGTAATCGGCAGAAGAATGCCCTTTAGGACTTGGCCCTCACGGCGAGTTTCGCATGCCGCGTGCTCACAGACTCCTGACCATTTGGAATCGCTTAAACTGTCTCTTATCCAGGTGTCAACGCGTACTTTACCAAAGGGGCACTATCACATCGCAGTAGGCATCAACAAATGTTAATACACGGTCACGTGACGCGTATCGACCAATGACTGTCCCAGGTACTAGTATGACAATATTGCAAGCATACAAGAAGCACCGATTGGCTTTATCACTGCACGGAGACAGTTTGTAGTCTGATTGTCAGTGATTCTCTGAACAGACAAAGCAAAGTGTACCCTCTCAGAAACAAAAACAACTCGCCTATCACTTGTTAGAAACAATTACCTAGACGACGCCAGGAAGAACCTCTGGAGGATGTAAAACCCAATGGCAACGGGTACGAAAAACGCGAGGAAAATAGGCATAACGATGGCGTTGACTACCACAGCCGACGTGACCCTCAGCACAGTGTTCACCAACATGTTAATGGTTTGTGTAAATCTCTGCAAAGAACGGGGAAAAGACCAACTCAAATTCAGCCTAATTCAGTGAAGGTGGATAAAGACCCTTGACGCAAACACCGAACAGGTTCCCTGTCTTTGACACAGACTTGATCTACAGATAACAAGCGACAAAAAATGTCAAATGGCTTCACACTAAAACTCGCACAACGGCTTCGTTACTATCGAACTTTTCAAACTATGATGATACTAGAAGCCAAGTTCCTACTGAGATCCCGAGCATCTGGCCATACAGTAGTTGAACTAAGAGGGCCGAAAATCTGTAGACACTTGCACTGCGTCCAAACATTTTTCAAGTTTGCATTTCCCAGTGGAGTTACGGTATTTTATAGACTGAATGTCACTCAGCATCCTCATACTCACGATATCAATGAGTTGCATATCATTTGAGAAACGGTTCAGAACACGCCCGATAGGAGTCATGTCGAAAAACCTGAAATTACATGCAAATTTAGGGGGAAAAGGCTGAGCTAAAACGTTCCAATGAAATAAATAGGAAAACGGAAACGTAAGTTAAAACGTGGAAAGTATGCACTGAGATTCTGTGCTATTCAAATGTTTAAGGACAAACCTTTACTAGTGAATGTGGCTTACAGATCTGACGTCCTGATGTTGGATGTTCTTTCAGAACCATACATGAGCACCAGACTGCACGCATGTGTAAAACCTGTGGCCATACGCCGCCACTGAAAATGCGACACGTCAAAGGATATTTGCCAGTCAAAACTGGTTACATTTTAGTGATTACCTGAGCGGCACTTTGATGATGTTTCGCAGGACTTTTTCATGGAGACGTCTCGCTGCGGTCAGCATGGCAGCTACCAGCGATATCATAGAAAACACTCTAGCCGTCAGAGTGGACACGGAGAAACCCACAAAGACAGGGAAGTACTCGTCCGTCAATCCGTCGGTCTGGGTCGAAAATGAAAAAGGAGTTCGATTAATTCTCTTGCGCTGGCCCAGTGGTGTCGTCAAAGGCTTAGGTGGGCATGTGCATGTGTGGTAATGAATCCATTTTCTCGGGTTACTCAGGATGCCTGACCAGGCCAAAACGTCGTACATCCATTATATTTGCGAAATGAATCCAAACAATCGACAGCGATAGACATCCAGGCCCACATTTCTTGCATTTCTTTATCAGGCCTTCCTTGATTTGAACCCTTTGAGAGACAACCCTCTCCACCAACGGTGATTTATCCATAAAACTAGCCTTGACTCACCTCATTTCCTAGTCCCGCTTCCGACCAGGCCGACAGCCAGAAGTTGGTACCGATGCCCAAGCCGGCGTCAACCAACGCCCAGAAGGCCAGCAGAGCGACCAGGAGCCACCCGACGTTCCTAGCGTAGTACAGGTACACGACGTAGGAGACCGAGCCTCGTTCCATCTCCTCCCTCTCAATCAGAGCGCCGGGCTCAGGGGTCTCTCCCACTATGGAAGGGAGAAAAGAGGAACATCTTTATGGGGGCATATGCTCTTATTTACAAGTCTAAAGTGGTTGTAGTCGTTGTCTGCTGCCACTTTTAACGCAGACTGACTTGTAAAATTTACTTGCTTTCCCAAATCAAACTGTTTTACAGGTATCACGTTGTCTTTTCCTTTTGCATATCTTTTCACTATCTTCTCCCTTATAACTCAGGGGTTTAATTTCATAGAGCTGCAAAGCAAGGAAATTCCCTAAACAAAAACAAACATCCCTAAGCAAAACCCAAACTTGCTGAACAAAACCAGCTTACCAGCCAAAATATCAGGCATTTCAAATTATTTCTGGTGCCTGGTTCCCAGCTGAATTTTTCAGCTCAAAGTTTCTGCATGGAAATTCTATGAAACTGGCTCCAGCCCATCGGCTTCTGAATCCCCACATCACCAGGTGCCCTTGAAACGCACCACAGTGTGTTTCAATACATTTCGTTTGTGTGATTTTATAGTCATTTCAATGTGTTTCAAGGATCCTTCAGTCATTATAGCAGGAATTCCTTGTCATAAGCTAATTTATTGATCAAGGATGTCAGGTTACCACTTAATGGTATTCTGACACCACCGAACAATAAAATGTTGCCAGTAAGTTTGTTTTTGCTGGTCAGTTGCATCCTTGCGATAAGCGCATTGTTTGCATGGTGAGATTCATATGAAGGTCGCACAATCTTCAGCAAATCCCTAAACTGTATCATTGACGTCTACAGTGACATCAAAAAGACAGTTTTCCTGGCGAAAGAATACATCTTAAGCCTAAATTAAACTACTAGAAAAGCTGAACTTAATGCAAAATTATTTCACCACATCAGAAATGTTTGATGAACCCCTAAATTGATACTTCAGGCGTATGACGACGAGCTACCTTTTGGCAACTGTTTTGACTGCAGCGTTTTGCTCTTGACTTGCCGCTGAAGACGGAGTCGCTCCTCCCTGGTGGCCTCCGACTCGTAGCCGGACAGCTCGCCTTCGGCCTCAGATTCCGTGGCCGCTCGGACCGCCTGGTTGTACTCGCTGTACATGTCGGGGTCCGCCGTGATGATGTCGTCTAGCGTCCCCTGGGCGGCTATCCGACCGTCTTTCATCTCAACGATCTGATGCAGGAAAATAACACCTCAGTTAAACTGAAAAAGCTGGATTAATTTCTTTGCATCTTGATTTTCAGACTCATGTGCCAGTTGTACAATGAATGAGTAGCCACCTCCCATTTAAAGGTAGGCTCTATATCCATTGCGTACATTGGGTCTTATTACAACTTTACAACTTATAACCGGGTCTATGAAAATCTTGTTCAATGAGGAATTCTGTTAAACGGGAAAACCTGGCTTTACATTCAAGCCTAGTGAGAGTCGGTCACTTTCTAAAGCTCTACGGAATGAAATGGATAACGTTCTTTACCAAATCTGCCCGATTCAGGTACTGCAGCTGATGGGTGACCAGGATCACCGTCTGCTTTCGATGGACAAGCAGTTTAATTATGCCGTTCTGGAAAAGATGGCGACCAACGTGAACGTCCAGTGCAGACAGCGGATCGTCCTATACAACCCGTGAAGAAAGAAATATCTTAATGATGAAATTACAAATACATTTAATGTTCCAAATATTTGTGTGCCAAGGTTTTAAATCGCCAGCCATCAGCTGATTAATAATGTATATCGCTCCAGGGCTGCATGGGTTAACGGGCCAAAGGTTCGTGTATCCTTTGGAGAGATATCCGCTGCTTACCTCCGGAGCACAGGTATATCCCTTATTTTGTAGTTATCAAAATAAATAGCCTCAAATGCTTTATATTCTGCAAACTGACAAAAGAAAATATTCTTCTTATGGGGGTGCTTGTTTGCAGACAAGTTCGCCACGATTCCACTGATGTATCAGGGAGATGAACCACTGTTTTTGATGACTAACTCCGGAATGTCATTTGGCATATCTCTAATTAGATTTCGGATTACTACTGCTCACCAGAATGACGATATTCCTATTAGAGTACATAGCCCTAGCCACGCTGACTCGTTGCTTCTGTCCTCCGCTCAAGTTGATTCCCTTCTCTCCAATCTCAGTCTGATCCCCAGCCGGTAGGATGTCAATGTCTGGCTTCAAGGAGCATGCGTCAATGACGCGTTTATACCTGAAACGAGGGATGTTTAAATTGTTTTTCAAATCGGTCTTTCAATAGATGTTTCTGCCTGGAAACCCGACGTCTCAAACGGGATGTGATATCCTACGCATTTCAAATGAAACGCAGCGAGTTTGCAAATCAACTTAACGCTACAATGCAAATAATGTTTAATGCGAATTATTACAGGATAGCGAGTTTGACATCAGATTGGAATGGCTTCACTTGAAGATAAATATCCCCAAGCGCATATAATATCTGTAAGGTTGACGATAAGTAGAAGAAAGCTCACTATGAAGTGAAAAAACAATCACTATTGTTATTTATTTAATTCTGGGGGACTAAAATATTCCAACATGGCTCAGGTTGGACACCGCTCTTCATCGCCTGTACGTAACGTTGCGCGGTTAAGTACGGAAGTCGGCTTGGCCAGCTGTGCTCTTTAAAATACACGCAGTCAGTCAAAGGTTAGGTAAATGATTATCATACCTTTTGACCTCAAGTTCATCGGAGAACAGTATGTTATTCTGAAGGCTAGCATTCAGCAGCCAAGGTTTCTGGGCTGCCAAAGCTATCTGAGTACCATCTCTGAAACGGAGAGAATCATAAATATCGAATGTTATCCACTCATTTATTCGTTTAATACACAGAATCATAAAAATGTCAAGATGTCAATATTAAGAGCTTAACTCTATTCAGGTTGGAAGTTAGTTTGTATTTTTCAATCAAACAATGTAAGTGATTTAACAATCTTTTTTTTACTCCATGCCTGACAATGTCAATTCCAATATATCAACTAAATGATCTAATCGAGAGCGGATCAAGGATTTTTGCCAGGGAGGGAGGCTTCGGGAATTTTTGTTTTCGGCTCGAGGGAGGTTACTGCATTATTGCCTTTCGTTGAAACAATTTAATCTCTTTGTTTTGTCCGAAGCGTACACACAAAATGAGACTCCTACATGTTTCAGGGGGTCTTCCAACAACTGGCAGTGAGCCAGGCAGGTATAGCCTGTTCTCAGTCCTTCGAATGCAAGTGCCACTCCGAAAGACTATGGAGAAGGGTGCCAGGCGGTCACCCTAGCCTTGAGTCATTCAGTGCAAGGATGTACGTACACACAGACCTCTCAGGTAACCTCATTATTTTCTGTTGTACTGTCTACAGTGATGAACTATCGTCATCCGTTTTTACGAAGAGCCATACGAGCCATGTCGAAAGTAGTATTTTTTCGATCTTGATTGCAGTCGTGCAAAAATTTGTTATGTACAAATTGCTTAACGGATAAGTGGAAGAAGTAATAAAAAATGACAGATTTTTACTTGACTTGCACAAAGCCAGATGAGGTCGTCATTTCACCAAGCATGGCCGCTAGAAGAGAGGATTTCCCGCTGCCAACAGCACCAATAACAATCGTCAGCTTGCCTGTAATGAGATGAGAGAATTTTCCCAATTAACAACCACTACAGGAGAATTTCTCAAAGACAGTTCAGGTCTTCTAAAAGTAAAAAAAGGTGCTTTCGGAAATTCGATATCTAACTTCATGTATATGCAGCCCCACTCGGTGGCAAATGGGGAGGGGGGGGCTGGGGTAAAGAAAAATAATGAAAAGTGATCCTGTTTGTCTTTTTCTCTCTCTCTCTCTTCCAAAAATGAAAAAAAAAACTTAATCTAGCTGAAACCTCTGAGACGCCAACAAAGGTTCAAAAGGAAAAACTGCCGAACTTTTGCCCCCAGAGCAATTTATGCACCACCGAAAAAAATTGTTATGGACCCATCGTTGCTTGAACTCAGGAAGTTAGAACTGCTACAAATATTTCAAATCTACTTCAAATTTGGCCGCAATTTTGACTGTATATAAGGACCAAACCTATGTACACCAAACCTGTGTATAATCCGAAATAGCGAATGCAAGCCTTGTGCGTCGCTACGCCATAATACACTTAATTACAGCCAGGATATATAGCAGGGCATTTTTCTTCGGAGGGTTCACTTTTTCCTAATGTGGATTAACTGAAAAGCAGGCAACTGTGCAAAGGCCTATCCGAATATCTTCATATCCAAGGATTAATCCCATTTCCCCGCACGTTCTACATTTTACTCATATTAATTTCATGTGTATGTTTGCTTAAACCCTCTTGTTGCATTTGTTACTTTCTTCCAGGTTCGTTTTTTGATGAGGTGTCTTGAGGGGATGATGACCCTCCGGATCCCCTCTTCTGCTTTGCTATAGACAAATCCGACGAGACACCATTCCAAGGGGCCACTCACGCAGTTGTCTCAACCTGAACGCACAAACGCACTTCGGCAAATGACTACTGCTCATTGGTCAAGGAGGAATTTCACTCGCGTGCACCTCTTGCGTGCGAACTGGATGGCCCCGTAGTAATGGTTTCTAATTTTGGTCGTTGGATTGTCTATACTGTAAGTTATGGAAAAGAAATGGAATCAGACGAAAGAATTGAAACTAAAAAAAATAATAAAATAAATAAAAAAATAAAAAAATAAGGCACCTTAGCTTGCTGGAAAAGGGAATCTCCAACTTAGTATTCATGCTGGATTGAAACCAAACAAAGGCAATGGAACTTATGTCTGTTCCGCACTTCAAAATCATAGCTCAAGTTTACAAGTACTTTGACGAGTATTTTGTGTCTGTGAAAGCGTATCCAAAATAAAAAAATGATCAATATCTCACCTTCCGGGATCTCAACGTTGATATCCGAAAGTGTCTTCGTTTCGGAATCTTCATCCCATTTGTAGGTTCCGTGAGATATCTGGGCATATATGAAGGCAGAGACATTTTTTCGAGGTAAAACATGATCTCGTTGTTTGGAACACCTTTCGCTTCTTTGGGATTTGAGTTGTAACGGGTGCTATCACCTTTTCTTACATCAAAACTAATTGAAAACTCAGAATAGGGCATTTGCTGACAAGACCACCCAATCCGAATGCCCACTGCCTTTGAGGCTTTCACAACAAAAATGCCAAGACTTTGAACTGTGGAAGTGATGTATTATCATTTTATATGATACAGGTGTCGAGCTAGTAAGTAGGCTCAGAGTCAGTGTCCATAAGGTCCATAAGCGTTTTTCGCTTGAATGAAACAAACTTCAAGGCGACATTTGGGCGAGAAAAGGAAAAAAAAGTATTATCCAGAATTTGAAGCATGGATATATTGTTTCTTTCCTTTGCCTACCACACCACGCAAGCCAGCTCAACCGATCTCCTTAACTCATTCTGCGTCCCATCAAACCTGCATAATGTTGCCGAAGCTGTTCAAAATAAAATATTATATTGTATTACCGGCATGCTTCGTGCCGTGGCATTCTGCTGTAATACACCTCGTTTATTGACAGCGGCGGGTAGTCTGGTCGGATAGCAGGACATGGTACTTTCGTTGCCCTCCGTTGCCTTGACCTGGGCGTAATTCCCACTTAGGTAGGTATGCAGATTGGATTGTCAATGTCTACCTGATTCCTTAGGTTTTCCCTGATGATCTCAGCGTTTGCCTCCCACATTTAGAACTTAACCTCTCTAATTCGTCTTCAATCTCTTGATCGCTTCCCCCTTTCTTTTAGCGGGCTACGGTGTCTGTGCACAATCTACAGCCATTTGCAAAAGGTTAGGACCACCCATATAAAATGTATTCACGTGAAGAAAATGTAACTTTAACTAATCAATCGTGGCAACTTATTTTTATTTTCAATGTGTAACCTTAGTATCTTGGTTACACAGCTATTTGACTACATGTCCATGTTTAAGTGTTAAAAGTCTAATAATTTAGTGCGCCCTCCTTTATTTCTGATTACTTAGATTTATTTTTTTACCATGCGGCCTTGCAGTCAAAATTTCATACAAAGCCTGTCTTTGCAAAAAAATCATTCAAATGGGTATATAGCACTACACTGATGTTATGCACCACTGTAAAATCATGTTAAGTAATCATTCAGTGAGACAGTGTAATGCAGGCCATTGACAGAAATGCACATAAAATTTTAGGTGGTCTTAAACTTGGTTTCACCACCAAAAAAAAAAAATTAAACTAAGACCTTTATGGCGACTCCGTGCTTCAAGCGCCCTCCTGGCCCGTCCACGGTATGCTTCTCCTTAGGCCCTGCTGCTCCATACTTGGCGTTCCTCGCCGACTTCCTCTTCTTGGTGACTTTGCCGTTCAGCAAACTGGTTCTTTCGGAAGAGCTGTGGAACTGCTCGTCCTCTAGCTCGCTGGCGCTGCTGGTGATGGTCACTTGGTCTGACAGTTTCTTAAAACCCACGGTGACATCGTCCTTTGCAAAAGTTATAACAAGTTGATGGGTTATTTGTATACCTGCGCATAAACTCCATACACAATAGCAAATACGGCCATCTAATTCAACTCCCATTTTCTGCATAGTGCATTGGCTGGAAAAGACTGGTGCTGAATTGCATTTGTCCCCACCTAGCACGACTTCCCAATGATTGGAACCAGTGCTAACATCTTTAATTATCTATTAACAATAGACCTATGTAGGCCTACTCATGACGCCACACTTTGTTTACGCGTCTGCTTTCCCATGGTGCTTAGTGGAGAGTGAACCCCCACTGGCTACACAGGAAAGTGCACAGTTAAGCAAACTGTTACGTCATTGGTGCAAAGTTCCATTTCCACAAGTTATCTTGTTTTGGTCTGAAATGCGAGGCCAATCCTTGGGTTTTAATGAATTTTACTGTGGGTTAGAGGCTTTGCAACTGTTTGATAAATTTGACCATTATCAAATTGCTTATTTAATTCAAATCTACATATGTATTAATTGGCCTATGTGTTGCATATAAAAGAAAGAGTTCCCATTCAAATGACTAATAAAAATATTATATGGTGGGAACAAATGATTAGCTGAAATCGGAGGCATATAAGTTTATAAAAGCAATTCTGATAGACTTGAACTGATCCCCGTCCCTATTTCAAAAGGGACCGGTAGCTGGCTGGCTTCTGGAATCCGTGGTTGGTTTAGTTCTGCGCGTGCACAATTACTTCTTCTATTTATAAAGATGATGTTTACATACGACCTTTCGTGTGCGTGTCAGCCGAACACATGGCTCTCGGGAAAACTCAGAAAAGTTTGTTTTCTCCTGTAATCATGGAAGCGGTTATCCCTAAAAAGCAGGTGAATACGTTTGGAAGTGTGTTGCACGCAGAAATGACTCCACTCTACGGTCTTCCAAAGTCTAGTCAGGTGACAGTGTTGCATTGTGGGATTGGTATATGCTCAGTTCCTCATTAACATAAACCCGGCAGGATTCCTCTTGTGTCATTACTCAATACCGGTCCCTACGTTCGGGGGACGTCTGCAAGACGTCTGAAGACTATGCACAGGACGGATACCAGTCTATGATAAACTTACAATTCCACCATGATGAGCGGCGGCGCCCTGAGGACGCTCCAATGCCTGGCCGTTGTTGTTCTCTATTTCCGGGGCCAGCAGGAAGCCCAAGACGCGCTTCCCGCTGACCAGCCCGTTGACAAGGTACAGCAGGGACATGGGTAGGATCAGGAGGGGCATGGTCAGCATGTTGAACAAGGACAGCGCAGCAAAGGTCACTTCCGGGGTCAAGGGCTTGCCGGTGAGGGCGTTGTAAGTCCCGAAACCCTGAGGAATGAAACTCGTCATTGGTTCTTCTAAGGGTATGTGTAAGATAGTAGGCTTTTATTGTAATGCAGTCTTTGAAATGCTTTGTGGCGTTTAGACTCAATATGCTACATTAGAGCGCAAACCTGATTTGAAGAAGTCTGCTGTTTCTACTGTTGTCATGACACCGAAAAGACCCTCCAGAATTCGTAAAAATGAAACTTGCGTGTGCTCCGTTTTTTTCTAAATATGGAATCTTTTAAAGCTAACCTACCACCACATTTACGAGCACTGGAGATGCAGAGGTCAACAGAACTAAAAGAAAAGAAGAGAAAAATGTGTTATTACTGTTATGTTAACAAAGTCGCATGTTTTAGTGTGATGACACCAACTTACAACCCCCAAAGTACATCAAACCATTTGACAGTTTTTGTTCTTTGCTGGAAGTATCGCTGCCAAGCCGTAACAGATGTCAATATTCCTTTAACCCTAAAAGAGCCGAGGGCGGAATCCACCACCTACGTTTTTTTCTCCATATCTCTGCAGCGCATATTCTTCAGAAACTAAGGCTTTGCCAGTTTTTAGTGTAGCTCTTTGCGGTCATTTTGACACACTGTTTTGAAAATCAAATCATTCTTGCCCAGCGCCCCTTAGTCCGAGACAGTTCATAATGTCAACCAAATAATGTGTACGTTTTCCACTAAGGTGCTCAATGCACGCGGGCTGCACTGCACGCGTGTAGCCCTGAACTTCAAATGACCGGAACAGCAAAACGATATAATTGATTGATTTTAAACTTCAGTTTCAATGATAAGGAGTGTCTTTACATGCATGCCAAGGTTTACAAAAACTCAAGTGAGGTACAACTGAGTTGGGGGGGGGGGAATCCGCCCCTACTTGCTTGTGAGAGGGCCAAAATAACCCGGCTCTTTCAGGCTTAAAATTCTCATTTGTGAAACTCTAAACTTGTTGTGATAAAGAGGACGTTGATCTTGAGTAGATATCCGAGTTCCCTTCTTCTGATGGCCTCAATGGCCTTGCCGTAGAGTCCTTCCCAAGCGTACAGCTTCAGCAGCTTAATCCCTTGAAGCAACTCGTTGGTTTTCTTCAGGCGTTCATCGGAGCAGCCCTATAGGAGAACGAGGTTGAGAATGTATGTAAATGCACCCTTACAAAGAGGTCCCGTCATTGGCTGACTATTCAGGTGGTATCATACCCACACGGCGGGTTTATAAAGTTTGTCAGCCGATACAGATGGTTTGTCTGTGCATGTCCCTTCCACTTCTTGTAAGATCCGGTTCAGATTCACCCGTTGCACCATGTGCACTGACTTCATGCACACTGTAAGTTCTCATACCCGGACAATTCAATAGATTTAGGATTCAAGTGTTCTATGCAATGACACTTAAAGAATATATAAATACAGTGTGCACCACCAAATGTGTTATATCCATTTGTAAGTGGGTTTTTTTGATGCTTTATAATTGAAACATTTTTAGTTCCTGAAGAGCGTTCACCTTTAAATTGATGAGGAACAGGACACTTAATAAGGCAACAAACACCAAAAGAAATTACAACAGGTGATTGCTATCAATTTGTTCATATACCTTCAAGCAAAGTTCCATACTTTTGTATGGAAGTGCATAAAACAGTACAAAATCAACACTATTGTGTTCTTTGCCAAACATGAGAAATTGCATTAGAAATTACTTACAATTTTGGATTATTTAATTGCTAAGTAGCGTTTTTGGCTTTGCGGGATCACTTCCAGAAAAAAGAAATGCAATAAGAAGTGCAAACACGATTTCAAAGTCCTGTCGGTTGTAACAGAGAGGAGAAATGTTGAGGCAAAGACTTCACTGCAGACCAACCGGGATTTCCCTCAAACTGATCGTCCTCTAGATTAATACCCCGAGGAACTAATGATGTGACTTGTTTTACTTTCCCGCTCTATACACAGATTTGTACTTACATCACTTACGGTTCTTTCTGGAGTAATTGACATACCGCAATTTAAAATGACGTAATTTTAGAGAAAAAAAATTCAACAGGATCATCTTAAATTTCAGACATTAGTGTGAACTTTTTTGGGCCTCGCCTACTCGCATGGAGTTCGTGGTTCTACAGACTTTGCCAAAGACGTAGGTTTACCAGCATCTGTTTCTGCCTCTTGCTGATCATGGTGGCGATTTTGAACTGGACAGGGCTGAGCACCAGAAAGACGCTCGCACCAATCAGAGCAGCGTAGCCCATCTCCAGGTACAGCAAAACCAAGTTGATGATGAGCTGCCCAATGAAAAAAAGTCCACCTATAAAAAGTTAAAAGCCTGTGATTTCTGCCGGGGAATACCCTCCGGGGACAATGTTTAATTAAAGCGCTATTTTCAGCATTGGGGATTCACGCTAGGGCAACACGAGCGATGTGTGGGGTAGTTGCAACAGTGAGATTCTAAGAGTTGAAAGCTTTTTTAATAGAATAGAGCGCAACTTACAATTTAGTTGTGTGGGATGCCCCATCGGCACGTTGGGTATAAATCAAGCTATTGTAAGCACTCACGAATAATAAATCACGTTGAACTGACTTCAAATTTGTTACACTGAAGAGCCATGATATTCACGTGGTATGCAAGCGTACATGTCATTCAGCTACTCCTTTAATTCTGTCTGGGGACTGACCTAATTTCAAACACACCTGTATTGGAATGCACCACAGGTTGTTGAAGTTCTGGAACATAATTTGGATGGCGTTGGGGTCGACCGACATGTGGTTCGTGATCTGACCTATGTTCATCTTGCCGCCCGTCGTGGCCACAGTGGATAAGCGAAGCGACTTCTCGTAAACCATGGCCTGCAGTCGGGACAAATGATCTTTTTTGTACAAGTTAATTAATGGTTAATGCTAAAACCTGTTCATTATCGAATATCACAACGGTGGCTTGTGGTAGCATCTTTGTGGTAAAAAATACAGTTCGCCACCTAAAGACAGTATCTACCAGAGTTTTGAGACTTTCTAAAGAACGGTTAAAATCCCTATTCCTCTTACCTATTAACGCTCTTACCTATTTACTCAAGTCCTTCGTAGTTTTTACTTAGGATGATCGGTTGGTAAGTTTGATAAAGGCCACCGCCGAGTATATTTTGTTTGAATAAAGCTAAGGCTAACTTTGGAACTCATTTCTTCGGCGTTGTAATCAAGACCGTAAAAAGGCTGGTATGTAACTAAACTCCTGAAGATGGCTATCTGATCGAGCTACTCATGAGGAAGTGTATATTGCGACGTTTGGCCCTCCATACCTGAATTGCCGCACGAACTTTGACCCCTTCCATGATGCAGAAGTAGTAATGTGTCTGCAAGCAGAAGAAGTTGACCATGGATGACAGCAGCATGACAAACACCAGCACGAAACCGTTCTTGAAGAACTCCTCTGCATAGACGTAATGGGCGGGGTCCGGCTACGCACAAACAGAAGCAAAGTTATAGTCAGAGATCGAAAAACATGGGACTGCAAAGTATTCCGTCCCACTGAAGTTGGTAAGTATCCAAGTACATGGGCTGTTACAAAGGAATTAAAATTGAAGATTTGAACCTAAATGAACGTAATCATTTTTTTCTAATACATAATTCACCAGCTACACGTAAAAATGAGTGACGTAACTTACGGGAATATCATTCACTCCAGTGCAGATACTTAAATTTCCAAGGGTGTATGCACCACATATCACTGTTATCAGAATATTTACAAAAGAATCCTTGACCTCTCAATCCTTTCATCCAAAGCTTTTAAAAGATTCAGAACAACAAAAACAAAATGGAAGTTTGAATTCTTTCTTATATCTGCTATTCATCAGGGCATTGAAATACCAGTTTTGCGAGGAGAAATGGTGGGGCTCATCCGCACCGATGCAAACATCCAAAACCTGCGAATTAAGATCTACGCGAACGGCTCTCTCGAAGCACAGCACACTATAGGCACGGACTGACACTCACCTCTGATTCTGGAGGGGACTTCAAGGTTATCGTGTAAGCCGTCAGAGCCCCTACTGCCACGGGATTGACAAAGCCGAACACCTCCCCGATCAGTTTGAGAACTGCCGCTGCCATCATCCGCCGGCCGTACACCTTGGCGTAGATTTTGCCCAGGAACGGTTTCTTTCCCTTCTGTTTAGCCTTCTCCTTTGATTTTGACAAAAAAAGTAAATAGGCTGGATTTATGGTTACATAAGATACCACACACCTCGATCAATCTGTTTTTTTCGCTCCTTCCACAAGGTAGGCCTATCTCAGTACACAAAATGGTCATTTCCCCCATTTACCGGTAGTGTATCAAACAATTTCCTGAGAACGACGTTGTAGGCTATAGTGGGCACGATAATGCACCGGCATTGGAAAATTTGAAAAAGGGGGAGGGGTAACGCGTCCTTGTCGATTGCATCGCCCACGCCCACGCACCGTAAAGAGCTTCGTTCATCAGTTATTATTTGTACGGTATAATTCGAAAGCGCGTTACTGTTTGTCATTTTGGTGCACCTCACTAATTTATCCTCTTTAAAACAGTTGGCTGGATGCTTATAACCGAATGCTCACCAGTTCTTGCAAAAAAACCTTTTTGAACTCTTGGTGGTTGTGCTCCGCCTCGTGCTGATCGGGCAGCGTGCCCAGGTCGCTAAGCTCGAGGGACTTCTTGTAACCCAGCACGAGGACCCAGTTGAGCCACCAGTACATCAGGGACGAGAACAGGTTGACGTAGTAATGCATGTACAGCATGTCAGGTCGCTTGAGGTCCTCTGGAAACTCGGCCTCTTTGTAGTATAACCCAAGGAGCTGAAGGTGGCAGACAGGAGATGAGCTTGGCATTTAGTAGAAAAATTTTAGTTGGAAGCCACAAAACATTTCAACTGTGGTATTTGTAAGTATTATTAAAGTTTGAGCAAAAAGTACTACCCAATTCGAGTCCTTTTTCCTAACCTGAAGATCCCCTGATGTGTCTTAACGTACGCACCGGGCAATACAATGGGTTGATTTCTTCTGAACTTATGACGTAACTTCTTTGAGCCCTCATTGGACAGAAGGCGACGAGAAACTCCCAATGGTGTGCGACATCTGTACTTTCTTCCCAAATATTTTGACAGATATCAACCCATCCCAGGGCCCAGTAGAAAGGGTATGACGGGTGAATAATGTGAACCGATTCTGACTATGCCACACTTTGTTCACAAGTGTAAGCCCTACTTTTCATGAGAGCGCAGTTTTAAAGTTGAGAGTAAAGACAGCATGGCATCCCTTTGCCAAAGAACGAAGCTGATTGGTTAAAATAGACCAAAAATAGGCGATATATCGATAACCAACTAGTTGGTGGGACATAGAATACTAATAAGCTGTATGTATATCCAGTGTTTGGTTCTAATAACCAATCCGTTTCATAACCTTTTTGGGATTGTTACAGGTTACCTTTGTTCTGATGACATTCAATTCTACAAGTATCAAGACGAGGTAAATGGCGAGCTTGATGATGGTCAAGTCGAAGATCACAACATTTACGTCGATGTGCCCTTGGTACTCCAAGCTCAATATACGGAGGACCTCATTACATAGCGTGAACACCCAGTAGACCAGAAGTAGTATGGACATCGTTGGTACTTGCCATAGCTCCATGTGCTGATAATAAACCAGAGACATCACGACTGCAACGAAAGCCACAATGCTGTGAATGTATAGATGAGGTTGAGTGGGCTGGCTCCAGGCCCGGTAAGTCTCATCAGTCATGATACCTTCACCAATGGAGGCAAGAATCACAACGAGTAGCAGGACTGATATCAGCCATCTCAGGCTGTGCCCTGGATAGATCAGGAGGTACTTGGTGTGGATCCGGCGGTAGCTGGTGCAGCATCCCAAGACGAGAAGAACGACTGACGATAGGAGAAGGAAGGCGGCGTGAGGGATGGTCACCAGACCATCCACCTTACATGTGTTGTTACGGATATCTTCGTACCAGCGGTCTTGGGACTCTGTGATGTACGAGGAATTTACTCCGCAAAGCCACTCCCACTTCGCGTCCATGCTTTTAAACACTGTAAAATTAACCCAAGATCGCGTCAGTATCATCAGGAGTATAGACCATATGGACTCGTCAGTTTGTTTTTACGGGCCTTCTGATCACAGTGTTGTTGAATCGAGGCAAATGACTTAAACTCAGGTCGGGATCGAGTCGCTAATTTCGTGAGTGTGACTTGACTTGTAATTTTATTACTTTACCAACTTTGAATTGGAATAATTGTAAAAAATGACCTAATGCCGTACCTACCTGAAGTAGCACCATAGTGCTTGTGGTAATTGAACAATAAAATGTATAGTATACTAATCAAGTGAGTCGAGTTCGATAGTCCAGAACTCGTAACTCTTCAGTTAATGCCTTTCTCTGTTTGCTGGACAGAATTAAACGCAGGTCGAAGTGTCCTTCACCAAAGAGACTTCTGACTTGCTTTGTGTTTGCACAAAATGACTTGTTTCTTGACTTGACCTATGACCCAGTGACTTGTCACTGGACCAAAGGACTGATGACTTGTACCGACAAAAATAATATGCTACCATACCTGAGAGAGAGCAGCTGTATAACAGAGTGTATAACAGACCTTCGAAATAAAGCAAAATAAAGAAATTAACAATGTGTGCCGTCCCCTCCTGCTTCCTTTTCGGTTGCCATCTGGATTTTTCTTTACAGTTTCACCCCAGGAAAAAAATTGGGGGAAGAAAGACAAACGTTAGGTTAAAGTTTCTACTTGGCTAAATTGCCAGCAAGATGTTCTGTTGCATACGTAATCCTTCCATCTATTGGTATTTCAACCATAATATCTTGTACGTCGGAGGGCGTCCTTTTTTATTCTCTGGTTCCCGTATTTTCTCACTCCGAGGGAAGCCAGGGGTGTAAGAAAAAATGCTGTTTCCCCTTGGAATTCTTAAAATTATATATATTTTTCTCTTTTCGTTTCTTGGTACGGAATTACAGATAGTTCAGAGCCTAAAACAGGGGTCGGTTGGAAATGAGAACCATAGAATTATCTACGGAGACCTTAACGTGGTGAGAAGAACGTACCCCATACGCCAGACTTGCAGCACTGCTGTTGTAAGATAACGTTTTAACTAGTTTCAGTAGAGCAAAGGGGTGGCATTCTTTTTTTCTGTAATATAAGTATAACCATATTCCAATTTCATAGCTAGCCATTCACCTACCTTGCGCAACAGCAACGCGTCAGGTGACAATCAAAAGGGCCAGCTACCTTACAGTTGCAGGCCCCCTCTGCTTGAAAATGGATACTGGATGAAGCGCGGGACTCGTTGGACTATGCTACCTTGTTCCACACGACCTACATAACAGGGTTGTATTCTCTCGGTGCAGTTCGCCGACCTTTGCAGAAGATAGCTTTGGAGTGATCTAACTTTGTCAATAGCAGCGCACCCAGTGACCCTCAAAAAAGGGCTAGCTAATTTACAGTTACGGGCCCCCTTCGGTTGTAAACGGATAGGCGAACTGCAGGAACTGTTGGACTTTGCTGCCTTGGGCAAGTTCGAGGACCATAATCAACCATAGTTCATCTATCCCTGATCGAGTGTTCGTCGTCGATGGTTGGACTTGTCTAGTCAAATATTTTGGTCGTTGGTTGCCATAAACCGTTTTTAATAGTACAGTGCAGAGAAAACCAGTTACACGAAAAATGCTGAAAAAACCAGTTACACGAAAAATGCTGAAAACAACCATTTCCCCCTGTAATTTTGGCTATTTTGCCCTTCCTGCGGCCACCTTTTCTCTTTTTCGGTCTATCGGTTGACTAGGGTCGTTTGCACTTCAACTTCAATGCACATGCGCTTTGTACCTCACGTATCAACCACTAGTTAATTTGTTGCCCAAGACCTTTATTGCACTGAAGAGTTGGTTAACGCACACTCAGTCACCGCCTTTGACACAAGTCACGGTGGTAGGTCTCCAGTGCGGTTCGCCGAACTTTGCAGAAAGATACCTTTGGAGCTGTGTAGCTTTGTTAACCATGAACCGATATATTGCAGCCTTTGTTTTGTCGGTCTCTTGACGTTGATTGTCTTTGATTTGAAATTTTGCTACATTTTAAACTAGGAACTTTGGATACTTTTCATATGTAAGTGCGTGGCAAGATAGCTTACCAATATTTCTCCACGAGAGAAGACTACTGTGTGATATACTACGCGAGTCAAAATGGGAAGATAAAAGGCACAGCAATAAGGCCAGGGTTGGGAACCGAAATGATAGGGATATGTCAGTAAGCGCAGGGCTCTGTAACAAAACAAGTGTGGTCAAGAGTTTTTGTTGGGGCTACGGAAGTAGTGAGGCACATTTTCTTCTACCTGTTCCTTTGAAAAAAATAAAACTTAGAGTGACCGTCTGGAACTGTAAGAAAGGACTAGGACTTCTGGATCCTGCAATTGTAAACGAAATCTTTTTTCAGAACGTTGCATTCTTGTCTGAATATCTCACAAGGATGAAGAATAAAGTTATCATGTACTTCCCTCTGTTGCTATTACCTGAACATGTTTGGATGTGCTTGTACATTCATGTTGAGAAAATTCACATGATGGGTCAATGTGAGATGAATCAGCTTCACCGATACTAACTCACTGAAATTCACTAAAATTAATCTTAGATCCAGGACAGAAATTAGTGCACATGGACAGAATTCACCAAAATGTTCCCTTTTCTGGTAAGCTGCAATTGTTTTAGTGAATGAATTTCTTCCCGCAAGTTTCAATGATACATTTTTTTTGAAAAGAGAATAGTACGATTTCGTCACTTTCTAGTATTTAAGAAGGGGAAATTGACTGTTTTGTGGTGACATCTTCCATAGGATTGTGCATAAAATGCATTGGTTGTTTTTAATCCAATCCCATGAAGCAATGCAAAAGTCGGGGTGGTTTAGTGCTTTAATTTTCAGTGCCGCTTTTGATGTCAAGAGGTAACTGAGGGCATTAAAAATATAACAGCAAAACAATTGTTCCCCTCAACAGGTGGAATCACCGAGGCAGAGGCATAATTAATTCCGTCACGTTGTCCCCGACTAAATTGGCCTCACTGTACTCCATGATGTTACTGCAAGTGTTTCTGAAAGTCAGCTTGGATTCCCCAACCTTCTCCAAAATGATAATGCTAGTTGGGCAACTGTTTCAAGTCTGCATGAGGGCGCTATCACCATTCACAATTCGCTACTCCCCACAGCGGCATACAGGTAGCTTCGAAGGGTAGCTTTTCAGGCTGCTTGACACTAACTTTTGCTCCGCGCAAACTTTATGTGACTGCGGCTTGAAATCACTCGAGTAGCGTGCGATTTCAAACCACAGGCAAGGAAGTTTGACACGGCTCAACGCTGATCACCACGTCCGCATCAGAAAACTGCGCTCATGATGACATATCCGTGGTGGATAATTTTTCTCTGTACACGGAACTTGGACTTAAAAATAAAACCACGATGAACTCACTTCATTTTCAATTCCTGGAAAATCCTGAATAGCCATATTTCCTGTTCAGCGTAACAGTAACCAACCAAAGCTTTATGCAAAAGATCCGAGTGAATTTGGGAGAAAAAATTCCACGTTTTGACCATATTCAAGTTGGAAAATGTAAGCCGATGGAGTCGGTGATAATTACTCTTTCTGCAATGTTTACATCAAGTGCCACGTTTATTATATGTGCCTTTTTTCATTTCTATTCTGTTTTTGATACAGGAAGGATGTTGTCAAAATTTAGCAAAAGTGCCGAGCCTGATTACGGTAATAAAAGAAAGGTTGAAAAAAAGACATTGAAACAACAGAATCATCTCAGGCCGTCCAATAAAAGAACAATACACTGTTCATGGGTATGTCAAAGTTGACACTGTTTTAGCGCTACAATGCTACTACAACAGGAAAGCTGATGTATCGTTTTGTCGAGTTCTTTATATCCGTGTCTCTCGGCATATGGGAAAATTAACATTGCAGCATGACATCAACACTGCTTTGGGATTATTTTTTTTCTCGATGAGACTTCAGCAAAAATTACAGAAAAATGAAGAGTTTCATTATTGACAAAGACACTTAATTAATGGTTATTAAAATACTTTGTGGAAATCAAAATTACTTTAAAAAAGTTCCTCTAAAAATATTAAAACATTATTTTACGGATTTGTATACTTTGAGTAATAGATGGCATTGAGGATGGTATTGATGTGCTTTTACGTACAAAACTGTCACAATTTTACACAACCTCTCCAAACCATAGTACTATATACTCGATCACGCCCTTTTTGTAAAGGTTTCATCATAGAAGCCCGATTAAAGTTTAAAATAATCCTCTATTTTATGTTTCACTATTTTAAAACAATAACAATATAGAACAGAGTTCAATTGTTAATTTCCGACGGCTGACTTTGTGCACCGAGACTGCACTCCGCTGTCACAAAAGTTTGCCACTTTGCATAAAAGTACTGTTTTTAGATTTAAAAATGACAAAACTACGGTGCAAATGCACAGGTGTCTGCTGATGATTGTTTACTTTCTTATCTAACAGCACCTTCTTTTACAAGTCAACTTCGTCTTGTAAAACTCTCTAATTCGCCTGTGCATGACTGCGTACAGAAAGGGATTCAGACCCGAGTTGGACAGTAACAGGTTGGAGAGATGATTCCTGACTTGTCTGAGGATACAGTCATCGCAGTCGGAGCCCTTGGACAGGACGATGAAGATTGGGTAGGGCAGCGTGCAGAGCGCAAACACCCCGAGGAGGATGGCCAACCGCACGGCTGGCTTCACGTACCTGCGTCTCGCCTTGGCGCGGGAGAAGGAACCTCCCAGTGAACCGTCGCCCATACCGAAGAAAGATTTCTTCCTCCATGAGGCGTCCAAGGGCTTGCGTTTCAAGGGACGGCGAGGCTCCGCATTTTGGTTGGGGCTGAGTGGCGGCTGCTGTTGGGAGCCGAGCCCGCTGCTGAATTCGGTGGTCTCCATCTCACTCGGAAATTCGGAGGTCAGGAATGTGCTCGTTGCGGAATTGGAGACTTTGTGTGCGCCTTTCGCGGGGGCCAGCCTGTTGTTGACAGCATCAAATGATGGTCGGCGGGCTTGTTTTTGCTTCCGCAAGCGCTTTCGCAGGAGGAAAGAGAACCGGAGGGTTGAGATCAGTATGACCAAGAACGGGATGACGAAAAGCAGGACAAAGATGACATGCGTAAATCGAGGATCGCTACGCACGGGAGACAGACAAACCTTGGTGTAATCCACGGAGGTGTAGTCGCCAGTCACCCACACGATGGCCTCGCATGAGCTGATCAGAACGGCCACGGTCCAAGCGGCGGCGATGGTCACCTTAACGTTGCGGGCAGACTGGAGTTTCAGGTAAGCTGGGTACTCCCTGGACACCAGAAAGTAGCGGTCGAGGCTGACGGCCGTGACCGTGTACATCCCCGCCGAGACCCCGACGACGGAGCAGAATGCCAGTGTGATGCAACCGGCCTTTCCCAGCGGCCAGTAGCCCAGGCCGGTGTGGATGGCGGCCATGGGCAGCCCCGTGGCCCCGACCACCAGATCGGAGCAAGAGAGGCTGAGCAGGAGAAGATTGCTAGGCTTCTGGCGGAGGAGGATGTTAGAAACGAAGGCACATATGGTCAGGATGTTTCCAGCCAGAGTGATGATGACTACCAAGAGCAGCAGGACCCCCACAACGATGGGACCCGCACCCGATGGCTCCGTCGGTATCGGAGTGCCGATGGTTGTCAGATTGAGGAACGCGTCGTCAGTTAATACACTCGTGGTGTTGTCCATGTTGTCAACAGCGGGGCTATTGTATTTCTGAGGCACAATCTGGTGTATCTGATCAGAGGCAATGTGTACAAGACAAATAAACACTGAGTTAAAGGAGAAACAGTTACCATCACGGTTCACGGTTGATTAACGTCTCTGAACTCAGCACAAACCAAAGTGTGTTTACGCTCGTGAAACTGGCGAGGTAATCAGGTGCCTTCAAAAATATTGTGCAGGAAACTCGCCCGGTATCGTTTACATAATACCAAGCCCATTTCCCTATTCTCCCTGAACCGTCCAGAAACTTTTTTCACGACAACTTCCTTCAAACCTTCAGTAAAAACAGACCTATTGATTACGCAATTTCAAGAGAAAAATCATACCGAAGATTAAAAGAATCACACAATGTGAATATTAACATTTTCTAGGAATGCCAGCGAGTTAATTGAGTAGAAAGCCGCACACTTACTAGTGTAATTCTAACTGAAGCATAACTGACGCTCAATTCAGGGTTGTTTGACTAATGCTATTAAAGACTAACACCGTGGTTGAATGGAATGGTTGTATTCGGAATAACCCGACGTTTGTACTTGAAAAAAGACAATGACGTTGGAGACTAAAAATAATATAACAGGTCTTCAAGGGCAGCAAACTTTCCCCATTGCTGCCCGGGTCATATCACCGATTTCCTTTGAAAGGAAATAACATCTCATAAGAAATACATGTACCGGTACTTAGGCATAGCGCTGGGCATGACCAGCCACAGGATGCTGAGATTTTGATTTGTTGTCTCGTACTGGGCTCCCAATTTCTTTCCTAATTTCCCACATTCTCAATGATTTGCTTTCGGTTTATATATGATTGATTTCAATCGCTGTTTATTACTGCGCCGGTTGACAGGTACCGGTAATGCATTGTTTGTTAAAGGTATCAGGTGCATATTCGAAATTCATGTCCCGTGTAATGGTATAAGTGTGTACATTCACATTAAATCTGCTTAACTCCCAGACAGTCTGGATTGTTCACTGCCATATGTCTCAAATTGTCCGTATTTATTTATTTATCAAGTGGAAACAATAAACAGGGTTCAATATCGAAAGTGAAACACAAACGTGTCGGTGCAGAACATTCCGAGTCAAAATTGAAACTGTGCAAAACAACACACACTCACACACTTATGTGTTATCCCGAGAAAGGAAAGCTCAAATGACAGGATGGAGGAGACGGGACTTTTTAGTGATATGTTTAGGGAAGTTACCTGTTCGCACAATGATTAATAGAGTAGGGAAGGGCTTTATAAAAGTTTTGTTCAAGTTTCCTTTTTCTCGAACGCGCAACCTTGTGAATTGTCTGAACGGAGAGTCTCAGGGAACCATATGAAGTGTGGGACATATTAATATAATCCAAGAAAGCGAAAAGAACAAGTTGTACACGCAACAGCCAGCCTGACAAAAACTACGGCAACAGGATGTCTGTTATGTCAGACGCCAGAAAAACCAGTTTGAGAGTTCAAGATTTAGGCAATGACGAATGGAGGGGTGGAATAGCTTGACGCATGGCCCCCCCTCAAAAAAGGGGTGACTGAAAAAAGTTATAGAAAAGCGATTCCGGGGGAATATTCCACTTTTCGCCCTTCCAGATTTAGGGCGCCCAAAGCCATAACATTAAACCCCTCTCCCTCCACAAAGCTATTAAAAGTTGCATAAGGCAATTCCAATTTTGGTTTTAGCCCCGACCCGTAAAAACAATAGATCCTTGGGATCCAACCTGTAGGCATTTTCCCAGCTCTTTGCGCTCGTCGGCCAAGTGGAAACTCGACAGATTCCTACCCATTTAAACCCCCCTTTCGCCCTATGATACTCCCGATGCCACACTGCTGGCATACTCCGCTGAGCCGGCTCTCGCACACTGGTTTACCTCTATTGTTTTCTTTTTTGTCTATTTCATTTGGTTTTTCATAAACAGTGGTCAATGATACCATACCTGTAGCACCCGGGGAGGGTGCTACACAATTCAAGCAGGCAGTAGCGCCGAATGACCTGGGTTATTGGCAAGGTTTGCTCTGCATGGGTGGCTCGTGTACAGGTTCCAGAAGCTGTAAGATGGGGGTTTACGGGCTTCAAAATCGGCCACAATCCAAGGCTTCCAAAGCATCGAATTTTAGCTGGCATGGCTGCAGTCTTGTCTCAAGACTTCAGTGGTGGTCGATTGTGCTTTTCGTTATCTTTGAAGGGCGCCCTCGCACAACTACTATTGGCTGGATTGCTGGTCGTGAGGGCGTACTATGCTTGATCTGCTTTCGAACACGAGCGTCGTGGGCCAAGACTACCATGACTTGGGCAAGTTCGGTGGGATCAAACGGGGGGATCTGAAGCACATGTCTTCTAAGAATAAAGGAACTCCCAACTGGCATCACTGATCCCCATGCTGATAGTGAACCGCAAGCCTGTAGTCTCCTATTCGCAAAGATGGCAGCACGATTTAGAATGAAAATTAACCAATATAAATTTGAATTAAATTTATATTGTAAAACATCCAGCCCCAGGGGACTCTGAAGTGAAATTTCTCAGGGTTTGCACGAGTAAAATGTACTGGAATACTCGTTTCTTCTTTACACTTTATGATTGTCACAAAACTGCTACATAGAAACATATTAATGGCGGCAGATGTGGAAAACAAGGAGAGTAAACTGAAACCACGGCGTACTGACACTGAAGCATTACATCATTCACGTTCGCCTATATTGAAACGTACCGCATCATGATACCAATGAAATTACTATTTTTGCAAAGTTAAGCCTGAAATACCCTTTGAGGCTGATTACAGATGCTTTTGAAGCATCGAAAATTAGATACGTTTATAGAGAAAGTTAAAGACGAAGGACATCTATTAGGCCTACAAAAAGAATTTAAAAAATGCGTGACACGTAAAGCTAGGTTCATTTAAACAGTTAAGATAAAAGTTGATTTTGTTAACAAAAACATCACAATAGCAGGTTTTGTATTAAGGTTTATGCGATAAGCAGTTTGTTTTATTACATCAACTAATCATGCAGAGTCATGGAAGTGCCAAGTAGCCTGCGGAAACTAGCACTGCTGCTTCTGTTCCGCGTTCTGTTCCGCAAATTGCTAATTCATTGTGCGCGAAACAGGAAATCAGTCCAAACAGGCAGACATGCGCTTTTGTTACTGTTTACTCTCGCGATAATACCCTCAAACCTGCCGCTTGATACCCGGTGATCAAAACAAGGAAGTAGACGCTGGTAGCGATAACCCCGCACACATAGCTAGATTCGCTCGGTCAGGCAGGGTCAGTGTCAACAGCAAATTTACCGCATTTAAACCACTACAGAAATCAGTATCACATCAATGCAAGCCTGAAAGGTGAGCTGGAGTTGCGAGTCTGAGCGATTAAACTATTCCCATCATTAAGAATTTTTTTGGTTAAAATGGTCATTGGTGACAGTACAGAAATGTCTGAGTGACAGTCAAGGAAGTTAAACATTTCATGTTACAGCTTGATATTGTAAAGTGAACCGTCAAAAACATCAATTCAGACATGATTTTGTACAAAAAGTTGAATATAAACAGCGCACTTTACAAAACAAAGTTAAAATCCGCATATATGTGCGAAAATTGTGCTTCGATTGAATCTTTCGTGGAATTTACACGGTCCTGTCCAACATCGCCTGGGCATGACAATTATGCTACAAAGTGGGACATCAACACCATCCCACAGGCTGGACGGGCGAAGGGAGGAGGAAAATGACACGCCCAACAAGAGGTCGCATTCCGTCCCTCCAGTATGGCAATTTCTTGGCATTACACATTCCCTCAGTTCTTAACGTTGGGGCAAATTTCAAGCACTTTAACATCCTTGAAAATGGAACATTTGAGAAAAAAAAGTGGATTCAGCCTTTTTGGTTTTACGCTCCAAATATTGTTCCAGCATGATTTCGTGTTGCAAAACCCGTTTTAGAAACTGTAGCTTTCTACAGTATAGAGCTTTATCACTGAGCAGCCATCTTGCTTTCTACCTCTTGAAAACAATGTGACCAAACTGAGGCTGGAAAAAAATACTGTTTCCTTTTATCAAGATGTGAAGTTGTATTACTGTTGTGATACAAAGGCTACACAAAATTGGCTTGATATATTCAAAAATTCTATAAATTGAGCACAAAATGTATCCAAGTGTAATGTATCATTTTGATAATTAAGTCTCATAATACTACAATAATAACTGCATTCACGGCTTAAGTCAACCCAAAGGTCAATAGTAAAGAATGAAAAAAAAATCAGCACCAATTCTCTTCCGTATAGCTCGAATACTGTACCCAAGCCAGTCTGAGAGCTCTATTGATTATTGAACAAAGATGTGAAACAACAGTATCGCTATTTCATTATAGAATTTGAGGTTCCGACCCATATTGTAATAGAAGTTTCTCCAACATTTTTCTTTGTCATCAAACTGTAAAAGTTATCCATTTTTATTATATTTACATTCGAAGAAAACGCACGTTTTTGCGCATTCCTATAGCCTTGGGCATAAAAAGGAACAAAGAAAAAATGACAAGTTAACTTTGCCATCGTTTTAATATTTTGCAAAAGCACATAATCTTCTGCTCCCTCCCCAGCGTATATACACTTTGTACTTCCGCAAAAAAACCACGAGAAAAGGGGATGACCGGTCATGACCCCTCAAGCAAAGAAGTTTAGAATTTAGGGCAATTAACATCTCAAGCTATCGACAGAATTAAATATTCCAAAATGTCCAAAGTGCACATTCAAAGAGTTAGAAAGGTAAGACTGAATATTAAGCCAAGCAACCCAAACGTGAGAAAACTCTCAGTTAGCTAAGTTTTGCCTTTTTGAGCAAGTATACCAACTTAGGTAAGCATCTGCTGAAAGTCTGCAGCATGATTGTAAGAACCTCACGTTCTGGCTGTCTTTTTACAAGGAGTGAGTTTTCTGGCATAAAAATGCCGTATCTTCCTGTGCATTATCGCATACAGGAACGGATTTAGCCCAGAGTTGGCCAGCAACAGATTAGAGAGATGATTCCGGGCCTCCACCATGCTCTTGTCGGCTAGGATGAGGAAGAAAGGGTAGGGCAGCGTACAGAGAGCGTAGACGCCCAGGAGAATTGCCAGTCGCACGGCGGGCTTGATGTACCTGTTCTTCATCTTCTGAGCCCGTCTGTTCCGCTGGGACTCACCCCTGGAGACGTCCAGCCCGAAACCAAAGAAAGATTTGTTCCTCCCGACCTGGCCCAGAGACGGGTGTTTAGTCACTGGACGACGCGACTTGTTAGGCATGACGTCACTGCTCGAGTCCGCGTTGGAGGCCGAATCAAACGCGACCGCTTTGGTGGATGATGACGACGCCGTTTTAACCGACTCATCAACTGCTCTTCCATTTACCGCTACAATTTTGTTCTGATTTCCTGCCTGCTCGCTGACCGTGCTTGAGAGTTCGGCCTTGTCGATAGGAGTGTTGGGCGATTTGGCCGAAGCCGTGCTGGGGGCCCGGGACCTCTGCCTCCGGAGGCGTTGGCGCAGAAGGAACGCGAACCGGCCGGTGGAGAGCACCATGACCAGGAACGGTATGGCGAACAAGAGGGTGAAGATGATGAGGACGAAAAGGGAATTCCTGCGGACCGGGGACCGGCACTCCTTAGTGTACTGGATCGAGTCGCCCTCCTCGTTGACTCCAGCGATCCAGAGGATGGTCTCGCAGCCGCTGATGACGATGGCCGCGGCCCAGGCAGCCCCAATCTGGAGCTTGACGTTTCGCGAGGACTGGAAGCGGAGGTAGGCAGAATAGTCACGGGAGACCAGCAGCCAGCGGTCCAGACTGATGGCCATGACGGTGTACATGGCTGCCGACACGCCGACGACCGAGAAGAAGGCCATAATGATGCAGACGGGCTTGCCGAGCGGCCAGTGGCCCAGTCCCGTGTGGATGGACGCCGTGGGCAGGCCCGTCGCGCCCACCACGAGATCACAGCACGACAGGCTCAGGATCAGCAAGTTACTGGGCTTCTGTCGCAGTAGGACATTGGATCTGAAGGCCCATATTGTGCCGATGTTCCCCGCCAGCGTGACCACGGAGAGTATTGCCAGTAATACTCCCAGGAAAACCGATACTCCAGTGATCGGTGCGGCAACATCAGGGGTGTCAGTTGCGTTCTCATAGTAGTCAAAGTCTTCCATGGCCGGGTCGTTGTTGCACGCTGTTGCGCCAGTCAGTTTTTCCCCCGCGATGAAGAGCTTCCCACCAATTTAGATTTCCTGACTTTCCAACGGCTAATGCATATGATGCTAATATAAACACTTTGAAACTCTCTATGGCCCAACAAATCTTCCAAAACGTGCTTTGTTGAAAGCCAACGACCCAAATGATCTCAACAGTGGAAGGTAATAATGCACATAAGCATGTATGTTGACAGCTACAGATGAACGCGCCTGGTGGGTTGGACACTTATGACAGTCCCATAGGAAGTTGGCTTCACTTAATTTACATTGAGCCCACTTCCGCGTGTAGAGGTCGAGGTACCGGACCTTTTGTTCTGATATCCGTCTCTCAACATGTATGAACCTCGGGTGAAGGATTGCCATTACTTCTCCACAGTGGGCGGTTGGAATTCAATTTTTCTGCATACATTACATGTACACATACAACTTCGGTCAAAAATGGTTCCGTTCTGTCAATCTCTCCAGTCAGGCCAAATACCTTGAACGAAGTACTAGGAAACAGGATTTTATATGTTAGTAGTTCCCACCTAGCTAATGGACCATAGGCTGGCGCGTACACGTACACCTTGTGGCGTGTGTTTACAAAGCCCGTGTAAGTAATGGCCAAGTGTCACCGGCTGCCCACGTTCAAATATGTATCCATTACCAGAGATATCGATACATGGACATAATTATTACCGAAAAAAGGAGTGTCACAGAGAGGCAGACGAGCGGAACTCCAACTTCCAACATTTAAAAGAGGAAAGCAAGTACAGTGAGCACGTAAAAAGCAGGTTGCCCCTGATACATGTATTTGCTATTTTACTTTTTGGTCATCGTGTATCAAAACCACTCGTACTTTAACCTCAATAAAAGAACACACTGCTGCTTCCTCTTAAAAAATCCAAATATGAACACCTCAAGAAGAACTCCCTTCTGCTGGCTGGCAGGGGGGGGGGTGCGTCGGCACCCTACACCCCCCCAGTCTACGCCCTTGCGATGTGTACCGTATATCAGAACAGCTGAACATAATTTCATTGGGTATACTCTATAAAAACAATTTGGTTATTAGCAGCTATTGGTTGATAATGCCCAATCCAACCGATTGGTTACTGATTATTGGTTGCTTTGAATCTTTTTTTTTTTAGTGTTCAAAACAAATTTAGTTTTAAAGTAATTAAGTCTGAAATGAGAATAGTTCAGAAAGCTGTTCACCAAAGGGACTGAGAACAACGCGCATGCTTAAAACGCAGGACGCAGGGTTAAATGCAGATATACGAGGGTACTAGAATGGAGTGGGGGGCAGGGAGTTTCAGCTGGGCTACGGTCCAGGAAATGAGGGGAACGACGTCACAGGACTGACCCCTACTTGATAACTACATTGAAGGCAGCTTTTACACTTAATCAATGTTCAGGTTGACCTAGCAGGGGCTACAAAGTGTGAACATTATCATCAGTGGACTCATGGGATACAGCGGTAAGGAAATAAGTAAGGAGGCAGAGAAGGAGGCCAGTAATATATACCAGGAAACGTGACGGAAGGTAGTATAATGTAGGTGAGCGATCGTTGCAAAGTTACACAAAATTCAGCGAAAAAAATCCTTCAAAGCAGGAAATAGCAATATCCTGAACAGAGAATTTCCATACTGCCCCGCGGTGTTTCTGGTATCCCAAAAGCAGTAAAGTAGAACGAACATTTTGTCAAAATGTTCAATTAACTTTTCTGCTTGCCCTAAAGGAGAAAAGCAAATGGCAACTTTTTGGAAACAGAGGGAACAGAGTAAAAGTAAATTATATTCTTCAGGTAGCAGAAAGGGGGGGAACTAATTTAAAAAAATGTTTATGCTGCTTTTCTGGTAGCAGAAAAGAAGAAAGGTCGAATATTCCATGTTACAAAGACATCAAATCTGCTTTTCTGCTATTCTGATTGCAGAAAAGTAGAAGACCACTTTTCGTCCTCCATAGACGTACGGTACCCTCGTCAGTACAGCGATTTTGGGAGGACCGAGGGGGGGCAAAGAGATTTCCAAAAACTCGATCCTGATCTGCCTCACAATAAACTAAACGTCCATATAGCGCTGGTCAGGGCCTCCTCGGAACTGTTGTCCGAGAGCGTTAGCATGACACCTAGCAGCGTGACAGTAAAGTTAGTTTGATATTGAACATTGGGCATTCCCATAGGTTCGTATGTCTGACTTTTCTCGAAGCTGGAAATCAGACATTCCCTGTACAAGCCTATGGGAGTGTCCACTGTGTCGAGAAAAAACAGACATTTGCTGTACGAACCTATGGGAATGTCCAATGTCTAATTGTCAAACTAACTTTGCCGTCATCTTAGGCAGACTCTTGAAAGAACACACAGTAATAGCTGAGCCGCCTGGGACCAAAACAATGACATATTAGTGCATAAGAGGATTCGCTCGCCGCCAGCACTCGAACATGGTGGTTGTACCTTCTTCCCATCACACCCCAAAGCATTTTCCGATTGAAATGACTATACTACAGACGGTTGCATATCAGGGAGAGTTGCTGTCTGACAAATATGCAACGGGCCTGATAATGGAAAAGCATAACCGGGACTCAAAAGGGAGAATGGAATCGAGACGGTATTTGGATAATTCATGCCCAATCAGGATAGGGAAATGGATGATAAAAGAAGTAATAAATAATAAAACATGTTCTTCTATAGTACTTTTCAAAGATAACATTATTACAAGGGGAGGTCAGTAATTGAAGAATTGAGAAAACAGATGAATCTTAAAAGTTTTTCAAATTTGAATCGATGTTGGGTGTCGGATGTGGGTACGAGATTTTGCTTCATATTTTTGGAAATGCGATGTAGAACGCTTGTCACTAGCAGCCTCTGTCTCATCAAATGTAAACAGGATGTAAGTATTGAAGACCTAAGTCCTCTTCGAGTTGATGAGAAAGAATATGTTGAGCCCAGCCGGGGTTTACACGATCTGAAATAATTTAAAATGTACACCGTATAGTTGATTTGTTGCCAGTGCAGTTGGGCAATGAGATGTATGCTTCCTCTGATCGGCGGAGTGAATACACTATAGCCTCAAAGCAGGATTCTGGAGTTTCAGGGATCTAATGATCTTTCCCTCCCCTATACTCACACAAGAACAGAGAATATCGATAACAGAGATCCAGACGAGGAATGACAGAGCCGAACGCACATTCAAATTGTTTGTGTCAATAAACCTGCAGATGCGATTAAAGGTGTCTTTCCATATGCGCGCCAACACTTGCGCAAAGAATGGACGGTCTGCAGAGAACGCAACGTACACTGGTGTTATGTTAATGGGATCGCTTTTTGTGTAGGTGAAAGTGAAACGCAACCCACCAAAAAGGTACATATAATATGGAAAGGCGCTTTAAGACCGTGAAAGGTGACAGATTGACAAACAGGTGTAATATGATGAAAGTTAAATGATGTGTTCAAAAATATCTTCAATCTGGATATTACCGTATTAGTGTCTCCCTAAATTCTTTGCTCCACTACGGAATCTGACCAAAACGGGAAGAAAAGGGACAAACAAAACTCTTGCTGCGCGTCGTCGTTTAGGGAAAAACAAAACTTCAAGACAAATCCAAATTGGAAGGTTGCTGCTAGTGTGCTGACTTGATTCACAACGTGTTTATTGAACAAAGGTCTGACATGTATTAAGTCATCCGGCCGAGACAGGTCGTCCACCTTGATAAGACAAGCACCCTGGCAGAATATAGCCAGGGTATTTATCTTATCAACGGAAGTTATATCCTGTTAACCTCATCAGAGACCCTGAGATCTTGTCAACTGGTGAAATCATTTTGGCTTCGAAAAGCTCGACATATTCTCCAGATAAAACTCGTTGTATCCCAGTATGTAATGACAAGATTTCACTTGCACACAAGTATACATGTCTGTTTAGGTTTGATCCTGCCTATCACCAACGTGACTTGTCGCGTACTGCATGCTCACCGCTTACCGACAGTGGGTTCCGGTTAGCTCTAATTCCTAAAAAAAGCTTACATTTTCAAAATCTTACGTCACACAGATTTATAACCAATTCTAATTACATTCTCACTAGCTAATCAAAATTTGAAAAAAAATTATCAAGTCTTCACTTTAACATGCCGTTTTATAATGACGAAATTATAATCGTTAACAGCACATTTTTCAGAATGCGAATTCACCATCTGTCACATTTCATATTAATAACAGGCATGTAGGCCTACTCTGTAATATCAATTAACAGTGCCGAGTGGCAACAGCATAAAAATAGATAACCAAACAAAGCATTCAACGCGAATATTACTAATAAGGCCCCGAAAGCGTCTTATAAGCAGAATTCCAGGGTGGATGGGTGGGGTATAATTCCCCACAACTTGGATCATTACCCCCACCTCCACCATAACTTTTTCGTCGTGAGGAAAAGGTAAACCAAAATGTATTCAACAGTACCGATAAGGGAGAACATTTCTACAAGCGTTCCAATACACTGTGTTCGAGGCCAACAGGTAATTGATGAACACGAACAAGGAAACTGAATGTCCATTGGTTGGGGACTGGTTGTGTTTGGGGCTGGTTGTCCCTCATTCCTGATGCCAACTTGCTCAAACCAATTCGGTATCTGGCAAGTAATGAAATGGAAAATAATGGACGCTGTAGCAAGAAACAGATAAGACTGGGTCTTGAGTTTCTGCATACGTCGGTCGGAGTATCTGGCGATAATAACTGGAAACCTAGGTTCAAGTGGTGGCCATATCCCAGCAAGTGAAATCGAAGTGTAATTAAAGAGGAACCTTTAACGACCGTCTAGTTTGTTGACCTACTAGGCCCAACAGCAAGAGTTATGAAGAGTTTCAACGTAAATACACCAGTCGAAATTAACACTCCTAAGATTCCACTGAAGAACTTGGTGGTCTCGTACCTCATTAATATATCTATTCATTGAGAATACGCCTCATTTTCATATCACACCCCTTCAGAGAGTACCGACTTCCCTTCCAGGACACCCACTGTATCCCCTGGTAGTCATCAACGACTGGGCTACTGTGGTACACGCCGTTCAAGTTGCTGTCGATCCGGTTGCATCTTCTGAACCACCAGCCCGAGTGGGCCACCTGGCCGCAGCTCAGGATTTCGGATTCATGTGAGTCATATTTGTCGACAGTTGTAAAGGGCATCAAGAGTAATTTCACGAGGGAATCTCCTGTCGACAGAAACAAAAGGCGTTAATGCTGGACCGGGTGGATGAAAGTCTTTATGTGATCTCGCCAGCATCTCGTGTAATGGTAACACTTTTTCGCCGTTTCACCGTCACACAAAACTCGAGCGAACATTTGGGATTCGAATAATTTTCTTTGGCGTCAGTTCGCCGTGTAATTTGTGTAATGTTGGTTGAAAGTACTAAATCAGAAATTTCCAAAAGATTTTAAGGGCCATCAGTCCGAGGAGGGAATATTAATTTCGTTTTCACTTTTCACCTGGAGCCTTCTGCAAAAGATCATTCTTCACAATTATTGGTAAGGATCCGACGACGAGACAGCTGTAAGTCTACCCTCGAAAAGAAGAAAAAAGAAAAACATTTGAAAACGAAGGGTATATTTTGGAACTAAACGTGGAACTAAATATACCGTACTTGATCGATTGTAATAGGGTAGTTCCTATATACATAAAATTCGTAGTTTAATATAAAAATAGTACTTTAAGCATTTACCGGAAATTTCCAAAGTTTGCGCCCTTGAATGGCGTTTTTAGATATGAGACACTTTTTCTGCAACTTTCCTGCCACCGGAAAAACATTTTGACACCCTCGAAAATGTGTTTTTTTAAAACTACACTTGATATTTCAGTTCTTGTTCCAATATTGTAGTTCAAAATCATTTACTCTACCAATTTCGAGGAAAATCCGTTAAGATTTGGTCAGGTAATGACGAAATAACCGTTATCCTAACCCCGGTGCAAGGAAACGCAATATTCTTGTACAAGTACAACTCGATGGGATTTAGAAAAATGGCCTCATGGGAGAGAGCATTCCCCTTTTTTGTAACATTATTTTCAGTTTCGGGACATTTTGAAGGATAAAAAGAACACAGACGGTGATGAGTTCCGATGGTACATTGGGACCCGCCAGCCCACGGCATATTACACAATGGAAGTGAATATCAGAAAAATCCTAATCAGCATCGTCGGCCTGATAGGTCTACATGGCTTGAGAAATCATACATGTTTTTTTTCTTTGAGTACACATTTTAATTTTCTTCCAACATAAGCCAAAGAGAGAAAACCTTCTTAAGTGGATGGTTTTTCTAATTCCACAGAGCAGTGAATATGCAGTCTATCTGGATAATCTAGAGGCTCAAACTTTTGAACTAATCCAGCCAGTTTTGGTGGCACTGCTAATGAAAAATCTGAAAACTGTGTTGAAAATGGCCTCATATTATTTGGCACCCTTTCTTCCATGAGCCGTCAAAACAAAGGTAATTCTGAACAAAATGAGTGGAAAACTCGATTTTTGAATGCACTTGCGAAAGGAGTTTTAAACCAAAAACCAGACAGAGACGGCAGTGCCACACTCCAAGTTTCACACTGAACTTAGTGCAAAGTTTACAAAATGTTCCAACATTGCCAGGGATGAACGTAAATCGTGGACAAGTATATTTTTGCAGTCATCACTGCCCTCGTCGTGTTTCTGGTTCACTTACAGACATTGTCGCTCTAGACGTTTCAGAAAAAAAAATAATAAATTAGCTTTAGCAATCGCCATTAATTCCCTCTCATATTTGGAACACAATACAAATCCCCATCCACTTTCGTCATGGCCAATCATTACAGGCTAATTGCTGGCAGAAAGCAAGCCTCGCGCTCCAATGAAATAAATGATTCATTGGTAATCGTCGGAACAAATATTTATATTCTGGTACGTAGCAAAAAGGTAAGGTGGAGGCATTGGTAGATGTGCCCTGTGGTGTCTGTCCCACAATTACTGCATTATGAATGGTTCCTCTTGACAGGAAATATCATTACGTTAAGTAATTAATGGACAGGCTTCCCCGATAAAGCGTTCTGTTGATAGCATTGAATTTTGAGACACCTCAGAGTCTAATAATAATAATTTTTATTATCAAAAGTCTAGATTGCCCTACACTTTGGTTGGGCTTTTAGCTTGTTTCATTGGTACGTTTTAAATCGGAAAGTTGTACAAAACCCAAACCTTACGAATGAATATGTACTTAGCCGGTCTTATAACTGTCTGATACATCTATTCATCGCCGTTAACAATCTTGAACTAACTTTTCGGACCAGCAAAAACCATTTTCGACACCATTTTCGAGAAGAGATGGGAATACCGACATGTGGAAAAAATCCGTTTTCGCTCTTTGGACTGTAAATATCTTACTTGACCAGTGTAACATGCCAAGAGCAAATCATCATCAGTGTAGAGATTACATAAATACTGTCAGGGACAGATATCTCGACTACTGTTTGCAGGTTCGATCATCGGCAATCTGTTAACCACTGGTCGATTTCCCCAATGCTCGATATATATTTAATGCACAGGTTACCAGTCCAAATTGACCACTGGTTGACCATTTGTCGGGGATCGAACCTGCCGGGTATTTTGCGTTTTTGTGAAGAGACGCAAACATGCCCGCCTTTTGAACACGCAAGAACAGCCACAGGGGTGTGTGTGAAAGAAAGTGGTGGAGAAGGGATCAGGTTATGGACTGTGCAACTCGTCTGAAGGTTACAAGGAGTGAAGACCCTATCCTGGAAACTGAGATTCGTATAAGACTTCTGCTCTGCAGCTCAATAAAAGGGAGGTAATTTTGTACGAAGCGCACTCATGTAGAGGTTTATAATGTACATTATTACATTCGTCAATTTGAATGGCAGTTCCATTTCATTATGGGGTGGGGACAGGTGGCGTTTAGAATAACCTGCCTAGACCATCACCTTTAAAGAGCACCTCTGAATGTCAAAATACTGTTTGCTATTATTTTCGGCTGACACTGTGCAAATCCTGCATTGATCTATAATTTCCGTCCGAGCATGACTGATGGTTAAAGTATTTTGCTAAGAGTAAAACTTGGTTTACAACGTAGAGGTCATAGAAGATACGATAACCACAGGTTGTGTTATATACTTTACAACACGTGCTGTTACGTACCTGCGTTTCCATCGATGAAATCCACTTGAAGCCTGTAAAAGTTTCGAGCTGAGCTTATCTTGAAGTCCCTATAACGAACATAGGCTTCCCCTCCATCGAACGCCCTCAGAGTAATGACCAGCTCCCATGAGCCATTACGAGTCAGATCATACAGCTTCTCGTTGCCCAGCCAGAACTCCCCGGTCAGATTGCCGAAACCCTCGGCGTACTCCTGCCAAGTGCGGTCGAAGCTAACGGAACCGTTGATGCGTCGTTGAAACACCTGCAAGGAAAAGTTTTCCACAACAGTGCTGAAAAGTAGCCATTTCGATCTCACAATGACTCTTTGGACATTCAGTCGTGGTGAGTGTTTAGCATTAAAGGTGTGATGAGAGGGTAGCGATTTCGGAGGTAAAGAGGTGCAAACTTTCTTGAAACCATTTTCAGGAATCAGTTGACACTCTTTTTGCCGGTTCACGCAAATGCAAATTTCTCACCTCAGATCAAATATTCGCGCTGTAAATTTGTCAAAGTTGAATACCTTCAACTCTGGTGAAATTTTCAACTAGGGTGAAATGTGGTTGCAAAGCGTCGAATTCGCTTCACTTTAATACTCACTGGTAGGAGTATGAGCCGTCCTTTTTGATATTTCTTTCAAAGAAAGGCATTTGCAATTTCTAGAGTGGTTTACAAATGCCTTGCAAGCATTTTAACTGTACTTTTGACATAGAATCGAAAAACTCTTTTTGCCATCCGCAGGAGCGAGGTATGTCCGAAATAGGGGAAAACGAGGACCTGTGTTCAGCCCCTTGCGCAAGTATGCGCAAAACAAACACCGACCTTTAAAGTATATATATAAAAGTTTTTGCTCACGGTTAGCAAGATTGCAACTGTATCTTCTTCGCTTTTTGAGACCAAAGCCTTGAAGTGTATGATTCACTCAACTGGATTCAACAATTTTATTGGATGATGGCAAGGTGGAGCCCCAATTACAAGGACTAGAATAAATCCACACATTTTGAACAAGATGCAAAACGTGGCGAGGTTGGACTCAGAATACGGAATTCCTCCTTCTCCAGGGTAAGCAGTTTTAATATTTTTTCCAGTTTAGTACAATTTTTGGCGTTGTTGGAGAGATATAACCAAGACAAAATCGAGACAAAGGAAGGAGAGTGTTGCTCTGCGTTTTGAATTGTTTCCCCTAATAATAGCAAATCTATTATGTTGGAATGTCCCTTGATTTCCGATTCTGTTTGTCTGCCAACAATGAGTTGTAAAACCAGGAACGCCACTCACTATAAAGCTGGCTTCCGACTCTATGCTGCAGTAGACCTGTGTAGTCTGACCGTCATTCCGAATAGTGTATACACCGCTAGTTGTAAAACCGGCATCCAAGATCTCCTGACAGTCTGCAGCGGTGACTGTCGGCTCTGAGTAGATAGTGACATCTGTTGTCGCCCCTGGAGCACTGGATGTAATGATTGTCGAGTCTACCTCTTGGGCTATGGTAGTGACTTTGGGAGTCGACTCTGAGCCGACTTTGCTGACTTCGGAAGTTGACTCCGTCTGATTGGCAGTGCAATGAAATTGATTACGGACTGTCTCTGCTGTAACCACCGGTAGCATGTCGATATACACCAGTGGGTCTTGTCCCTGGATCTGAGCTGTGTAGGGGCAGTGTCCACTCCGTCTGACCACTGTGCAGGTGCAGGGATCGCCCGGTGGCATGATGATCCGTCTTATATGTACACCGCTCCCGGGTGAATTCAAATCTATCTTCAGAACACAGACCCTGGCCGAGATAGGACTTGCCACTGCATTAATCAGTGGGAGAACAGACAATGAAAACACGGTACATAAGACAGACAGAAGGCAGTTGGAAGAAGTTACCGATGGAATGATAATTTTCCTACGCTATCCCCTAATGTGTTGGTGCCCACTGAGCTAGAACTCTTGTTGTCACTGGCAGGTTTTCCTCATGAACTTGACTTGTCCTCTCTGGAGGACAGCAAAGCGAAGCCGTAAATGCACAAAGAGCAGCTTGGAATCAAACCTATTTTCGATTCTTCATTTTTACAATTCTGGGGGCTCTGGATCCAGCGAGTCCAGAGAGCGTCAGAAGGAGTATTGGGTTCTCACGTTTATTTATTGTTTGCATGACATTTCTCACACGAACTGTGAGGTCACAATCGAAGATTTTTAGACAAATGACAAATCTTGATTCGAAGTGGAATACAAAATAAACAAAGGTAGGTCACACCGTGACAGAACCGCCCTGTCGATTGAGGTACAGAACTGCATTCAGACCTATAGATTGAGCGTAACTATAGTGGACGATACAATGAAACCTTTGCCCCTTGGACGCAAAAAATGGAAATATCAGGGATCATCTTTTCAGGTGAAAAGCCTGATCTACCCCAATCCCTATTGGGTCCGGATGCGGCAAGTGAGCACAAAATTAAAGGGAAGTTGCAATCGAATCTTTTTAACACAAACCTTCAAATAGACCTATGTGCCTCAGTTAACCTCGGTTCAATTTGTGTTTCACTATTTCAAAGGGTATTTCAATGCCTTTTCATTTTTATGCTAATGACATTTCCATATTCATGAGCAAAAGTGTAATGCCATTTCAGGAAGCAAGCCTTGGTATTACATAGGTTTGTACTTGAAGGTTTACCGACAGATGGACTAAATGTTCTCTCTTGTTGTGATTCACTGTTGCTTAAGTACGAAGCAATAAGCCAGTAATCAACTCATTTTGAGAAATGTTTTCAGTGAGTAAATCTGCGTATACAATTTTAATATAAAAACCTTTACACCGAAGAATATCCTCCCTGGATGACATCACAACAACGGCTTCAGTTGTCCATGAAAGCATGAGTTGTTTCAAAAATACTTAAAATTTTCAATGCATTTTAGCCAAATTGCGATTGGAATAGTTTTTGTGCACTGAAGAAGAGTATGCCGTCGCAAAAATATTGTGTCCAAGAGAAATTCTTTGTGCCTACCCATCCAAACTGATCAAAACACGTGGAACTTCTGTGGTAGAAAAAGGGGCTGACACTCGAAATGAGACTTAACTTAGAATGAGATCTTAACTTAGAACACGGACTGCACACAATCGGTGACGTACCTGCAGCGATGACCACTGTCATTAAAGCAATTGGAATCCACAGCAGTCCACAGACTTGGTATCCACTGTCAAAGTTAAGCATCTGGAAAAGAGACCAGTTCACAATGTGATGAAGTCAGTTCACCTACTCCTGAATGGCAACCTTACGGTGCATTAACAGGCCACTTCGATTCAGCTGGCTGTGGGCATAAACATGTCCGGGGGGCGATACCTCAGTTAGCAGGTCTTCTATAAAATTTGGGAAGTATGATTTCCAACGCACGCAGGGTGTCGGTCTTATTTAAGAATTTATTTCAGTAATTATGAGCAACTCTTCCAATTTCAAGAGCATAGAATTTCAGCACGGCACATATGACGGCTTTCAGATGCTAGTTCAACTTTTCTCCTAGTAAAACTGTACTAACACGAACTTCAGAGGCGTCTTGTTCAGACGCAATACCTTAGAAATTTGCCGAGGAGAAAAACGTTTTTTTGCCAATCAGGCCTATATGCCAATTTAATTGACAGTTTTTCATTTGCATTTTTAATTGCATGTTCTTCATTAAAAAAAAGTTGGCTTTCAACAAAAGAGAAACAATTACACTGGAAGCAGGACTGTAAGCCCCTTCATGTAAACCTTTGCTCCAACGTCATTATGCTAAATTTCACACTTCCACTGATATATAGCTGAAATATTTCATGACAGTAGGACGCACCGTTCTTATTGCGAAGTAGCCGTTTCCCAAAACATGACTACACACCATGTTAAGGGCGATATACACATTACGATATGTACCGGTACGTCGTACAGGGAATCAAATGCCATCTCTCTTACAACTGTATGTGTGATAGCCTCGGTATTGGAGAAGTCGCTAAGGATGAATTGTAGAATCTAACACTTATCATAGTAGAGATATATCTATTGGAAAAAAATCTCTTTTTCTACTGGAGATATCTCTATAAAGATATTTGGTTTAGAAGTCTATTACAAATATCTATTAGAAATGGAGATCAACAACTAAATGTTAACTTTCATCTGAAGTTCATTTCTCTTGTTCTCTTGCCGTCCTTTTGACGGAATCCATCCTCTTCCTGATCCTCCCAGCACACAAACAGAAGTTTGAAGAACGTGATAGACACGTTAATAAATAAAATTGTTTCATGGTATGATTGAAAAAACTTCTGGTGATACGGTCTTTGAAACATATTGACATTTAATGGTAACGTTGGCGCAGTGTCTACTAATGGTTAATTAACATGATGTTAAAATATTGAAATGATGATTGGCAGTTTTGTCATTATATTCAAATGATGTTATAGCAAAACGCCTTATAATCATTTTCATGACATCTTTATGTGTTTCATAGGTTTTACAAAACGTTTGTGCTGAGATTAATTTGTTGGGGCCTGTTGGGGCATGTGACGTACAACCCTTTTCAATCCCAATTTTCTAACTCTTTGATAGAATGAATGAAATTACTTTTGCCTCACTGTCTACACTGTTGCTATCATTTTCTTTTTATCACAGTCGTCATCCTTTTTACCGCATCCCTTGCTCTTCTGTCGTTTCCATGCGCATTATCGGTCACCCAATTCTCAAATGAGGCTGAAGAATTATTCAAGCTAATTTCTGAAATGATACCGAACAAAGCACTAGCAATGCGGATATGACACTTTTCAATGCCTATGCATGGCTAATGATGCTTTCCAGGGAAAATTGTTTGGATCGCCTTGAGGAATAATGAACGTGGACGGAATTATCAAACGGCAGTGGAAAAGTATACTTTTTGGCTATTAAACCTGTTTCGTTTTCCACAAAATTGGTGCCAAAATGACTGTAAAGTAGTTACTAAAAAGAGTTCTGAAGGCTATAGGCTTCTGAAAAAGTACATGCGGCGATATCGGGAAAAAAATCGTGGGGCGGCTTCTACTCCGGCTCTTTTATTGTTAATTGACTTTTTCACTCGTGCAGTTATATATCAACGTTGAGCAAATGTCGAACACAACAGTGAGTGTCTTGACAGAGAAGAAAGGCATAATAAGGCGCGTGTCGTTCAATTAATAATTTTCATTAAAATAGTCAACTTGTAAAACACAGTGTCCTTTTCCTGCTGTCTAGATAACATAACTTTTCCTCTTCGTAATTTATTTTCCTTTTTGTGATTTCGGATTTTACATTGCCATTAACTGAACAAACTTCTCTTCCGCGAATAACTCCGTTCAGTGATTACGGAAGAACACTTCAAAAAAACAGTGAACCGACCTCCGTCTGCTCTTCAGCTCTTGTCAGTATGCATGTACATTCAACGCTCATTAAAACCAAACGCTCATTGTGACATCCTACCTAGGAGAGGATACCACAGTGCGAGGAAGGGAATTTAATTATTTGAGCAATGTATATTTGTGGATTTCACCTAACAGGAACACGGGCTTCAAATGATCAGTTGGTTATTTTAACAAAACTGGATGTGTTGCTGGGGGGGGGGGCTGACGCAGGACGCGAAGGTATTAAAGAAAGCTCTTCTCTTAACAGTCTGCGATTCGTTTTTAAAGCCAAGTTACCGCAAATTATATACATACATATATATTATATACATAACATCTCGAAAACTTTAAAAGAGGTAGGTAGATCACGGACGCACCTTGTTTCGTTCCTTAGCTGTCTTCGTCTCTGCCAAGATCCCTCGGTCTTGATGCTCCTGACTTGAAAATTCAATCAACAGGGTGGCTCCGTTGCCAAAGACAGTCAGCTATAAAATGGTAACAATGCAGCAATAATGTATCTCAAAGTCCTCTCTGTGCTTGAGACTGCTGGGGAAAAAAACCTCGTACGTTGCGTGTATTTATTCATCTATTGCTCGTTTCCATGATTAATTGAAGTAAATGACGAAACTGGCGTACACTTTCCCACTGAGGGACTTGTACGTGTCTATGTTTGTTTCTGTCGATGGCCTGAGTTAGGGCTTAGACAGTTGTTTCTTTCAAGCTCCATGTTTCATGGATTCACTAAGAAAGTGTGATCAATCCTTAAGTAAAAGAAGAAGCTCCTGGTTTAAATTGTCAAGTCTGTTTTGGTTTCCTTTCTTTTTTAGACGTTAAGTTATAGGCCTATTTAGCCTGATTGATAAATCAAACTTAAGTCATGAGAACGCTTATAGAATAGAGGCATGCATGTAAGTTAAAAAAAGTTAAGTAAATGGCCAACTTGTTCATACAATAACGCACCAGATTGATAGCGAGGATGCCCATAGCCAGATCAGAAAGGCTACCACTTCGTCAGACCTTGGCTAGTCCGGGAATTTAAGTTCTGGCCGTTGGAACTGGTACAGCATCACGGCAGTGGAGTAATAAAGGTTTGTTGGTGAATTTCTTGCTGTCCGAAGTACAAAACTATGTAAAACAAGTATAGCGAAACGGATGACAGAAAAGGAAGTAGCGAGAAACGGCTGTGTTTGAATGTCTAGGCCCTTTGAAAGCCAGGTGTATGTGCGCTGTCAAAAGATCCACCATGCCATATCCATACTCGTATGTGCTCGTTAATGTACACGAAATGAGGCTGATATTCCGGTCATATTTTTCTTGACCCAGGACCAACGTCTCAAACATATAAGAGTAAAAATCGACGGTCTGTGTTCAGCTGGCTACTCGACATTAATTTCAGTCTGCAAAGGGTTTAGTTGGATATTCATTTAGGTTTATAGGAGCGAAGTACCCAGCGGGGAACGGGGTGTAAGAATACTTCATAGGTGAGCGGGAAAGAAAGAAATCGGTATATTCATTGATCAGATATTAACACCCAAACCCTAGGGAAACAACACTCCAGCAAATAAAAGCAAAGATATCGTGTCAATATAACACGGAGATGTGAGAAAAATCACGAAGTTGCTCATATCACGCAGTTTGTCTTTGATTGTTGAAAGTGTGTGATTTTCACTACACACAAAAATGGACAGGCACATCAACGATAAGATCAGACATATACTTCATTTCTAATATCTGTAGCTTTAATTTGTGAGCTGTGAGCTCGTATCGTAATTATGAACTTTATTCACTTCCTCATAAAATTTAGAGTGCAGTAGAGCCGCAACATTTGAAGACAGAAAACTTCCAACCATAAACTGACTTTTTTCTCCATGGCGAATAACCCTCAAATGTTTCAGGCATGCAGATACGCAGCGTCGTAAAAGCCTTCTGGTGATGTCATTGGCATTTTCAACATGCTGTGGTCCAGGATGACTTCCAATTTACTTCACAGATCCATTACCAGAATGTCACTCAACGAAGTGAAGTGAAGGTTTCTTTCTTCTTTTGTGTATATTCCGAAATTACTGAGGTTGCAGTACTTTTTGGAAGCGCATCCACTCAGGGACGACTGAATACACGAACATCATCCCCAAATAACGCAAATATCAAGCGAGTTTTTGGAAGCGCATCCACTCAGGGACGACTGAATACACGAACATCATCCCCAAATAACGCAAATATCAAGCGAGTCAAACACTAATGGAGGTGCTCCAATTCCAGTCATACAGACTGGAGGAACTGCATTATGCATGATATCAGAGAACATTAAGTACAAGTTACTTGATGGATTGCTTAAGTCAAAAGGGACCTCAGGAAACGGAAACTTTCTGTAAATTCTGTTTTATTCTCTACGTCAAATAATGTGAATCGTACTTAAAGAGTTATATACCAACAAAAACGATGAGTTTTCACTTTCTAAATAGGCCTATTGCGTTCTTCTTGCTTTATATTGTTGATATTTAAAAAGCGCATTATAGCATGTAGATTAGTACATGGTTATAAATCCCTGGGGTGGGGGTATATACCCCCCACTGTTTGAAGTGGGATATGGAGTTTCGAATCATACCCCACTTTTTGTCGTGAGCAAAAATTAAAGCGGGTTGTGAAGACTTTTTGAGACTTCCAACAGCTAAACTACAGTCAATATCACTCAAAAAAGAGAAAATAATTTTGTAAACCCATAAATATGCCATTCTGAATGCATTATACAGATGTACATCAATGTCGTGAACATTGACCGTACAGAATCATACTGTGTCACCCCCACCTTTCCCCATCCCAACCCAACTTCCGGCACACATTTACGCCAATGGATTAATCACAAAACAACACACTAAATGACAATACATAGCAGTAAAGTGGTTTCATTGATAACTGTTCAAAGTTTTTGCTGTACCGTCCCGAGTATATCTCCGAATTTAGTGTTTTGAGCGGTACTGTCGCTTTTCATCAAATTTGTTTCATCTTTTTAATTGATCTGAACCTAAAACATCAGTAATATTAACCATGTAATGAGACGCTCTTTATGTTTACAGTCTTGTTTCGATAGTTGGCCATATTTTGATGGACAGCTTGTATTTCGTCAGAGTTAATGACAATCTGATATTCTGGGGGGGGGGTGGGCATTGAGGTGGTAGTTTTTTGTCCCTTTCAACGTGGGACAGATTTGGTCTTATCCCGGATGTAGATCTGATCGAGATCAGCCCGACTGATGAGGTGGAACTACCCTAAGGGCCTCATTACCTGAACCATCAGTGTCTTTAGAGACAACAAAACCTGTCAGTAGTTGTACCATTCAGCCTGACGAAGGTCATTAGGTTATTAGCGCAGTAGTATGGCCTGCAAAGGTAACATTCAGCCTGCGTATAAAGATACGTCTCTTCGTAAAATTCTTATTAATAGAGATATCTCTATTCAGGGATTAAATGTTAACTTTGCATGCCAGACATTGAGCATGACGCAATGAACAGAGAGCCTGCGCACTGACGAATTCAAAACGTGTTTAATGAGCGCTCCTCTACTTCAGACGTATGAGAGAGTCACAGCGCAGTGGGCATTTTACATGCATATTTTGGTGGGCCGAATATCCATTGATTTGAAGAAAATCCTTGGAGCATTGAGTGGTTTGCCTATACTCTGTACTTCGTCTGTTTCCGTTAAAAAATGTGAGCCATCGGGCTTTGTAATAGAAGCATTTGGGGGGATGTCTCTGTTTCTTATTTAATTCCATTTAAAGATATGGAGGACAGGTTATTCCTGTAATGGATTACTTACTTCAGTTTGTCCGAAATCTGAGTGATGTTGCGATTTGTTGGTACTTTTCATAGGTATAGGCAGTGCTCGCTTTTGCTGTTCTTGTTTAGTCGCATTGATGTCATGGTAGTACATGTCAGATTCTGAATAATTTCCCGTTTCTCTTCTTTACATTTCTAAACCAAGTAAGCCCTCTTACCTTTTAAATACTGACTTCATTCATTGTCATCTCCCAGTTTCATGAACAATGGCTGTATTGGGGGATACTGAGAGACCTCAGAACTCTGTTCAAATTTCTTAACCAAAAAATCGTTTTCCCACAACACGGTGCCCAGCCAAAGGCACTCACTCTAAAAAATACCCTGAAAAGGACTAATAAAATATATAAAAAATTGGCACCACTGCAGTTTATAGGGTAGCGATATTCGATTGTCTTGTACAAAGTTCTATCAACAGAAACAAACCGTGAGACGGATTTGAGACAAATAAAAAGATAACTACGTTCAGTGTCTGGGCTTTAAAAGAAAGGCGATTTTTATTTTCATGATAAAACAGATAAAAAGACAAGATAAAAATAAACAAGACACGTTGGACGAGAGAATTGAATAGATTTGATATTAGCCCTTAGCATAGCCCTTTCATGCAGTTTGCAGCCGTGGTCAAGAAACTTGGATGTGGCCTTGGACAAGGATTGCATGGTCGACCTTATAAGGTAAGAATCGAATGACAAATTCAAGTTAGATTTTTCAACTTGAGAGTATGGCGTTCAAAGTTAACCTTTAATCCCAGAATAGAGATATCTCTATTCCTTGACGTGACAGGTTAACATTTATGCGTGGAATAGAGATAGCTCTTTTCCTAGTAGAGATATGTAGAGATGTAGGGTCAACACAAAAAAATAGAGAAAATGTTTAGGGGTGAAGGATCCACGCCTGGATGCAGTGTTTACTCTCAAAACTCTTATCAAATGCAGAAAAATAAGAGCTTTGTCAGTTCTGTTCTGTTTAACTATATATGCTTCGGCAAGTTCCGTTTTATGCTTTATTAATGCAAAAACACGTTTGGTTTATCGTGTTTGATGCATTTAAATATTTATCCGGCTCTCAAACAAGTTTCAGTCCCGAAACAATCCAGAAAATAACAAATCTATAGGTTTTATACCTGTTTCTGTTCGAGGTTAATACGTGCAAGTGGTAAAATTATAACAAAGGTTTATTGACAACATGAGCGGTCACTATTGCTTTACTAATGTTAAGCACATTTTCTCACATTCAATTTCAAACCTTGAACAAGAAATCAACTGAGAATTATAACAGGCAATCTATACTTCACTACGAGGAGGCTAAAACAGATGAAAAGTTTGTTTTCAGTCCGTTTGTAATATAAGAGGCCTCGAGCATCTGGAACGTGTTAAAGCTATTTTGCGACGTTTTCCAACCTACTAAATAGCCACTGCGTATGCATCTTTTTGTGACGGAAATGTAAACTAACTAACAGAAAATTCCCAAGAAAAAAAGAATAAGGGCAAGTAGATGTTTAACTACAAATAACCTGAAACAAGAACTGGTTCCGAGAAACACTGAAATGTCGGACAAGTATGTTAATTGATTATAAAAAATCCCGTTTCAATCATTTTCTTACTAGCAAACGTTGAGAAGTTCCGTGATACAATTTAAAAGAACGTGTACTGATAAAACGCCAAGTTAGAAGTCCAACAATTGATTATGCTTGATTATCAGCACAAATACTGAGGCACAATTCTTCTGATTTCACAATAATTTAACACCCCACCGAAAGGAGTTCATAACAGCACGCCAAGGCATCAACGACGGTATCAGGCGTATCAAGCGCATTTTGTATTTTTGCACATTGAAATGATTCTTAGCAATACTAGAATACTGAATACTAGAAGGAGTAAGTTATTATATTACTACCAATGTGAATTTCAACTGAATTTGGGTCTTTCTTTTTAGCTCGTTCAGTTAAGTAGATACAGACTGAGAACAGGTAAACTTATACGTGATATCAACTTTTCTAACATGAAAAGTGAAGTTGGGTAAATTTCTGCAGGAAATTGGACGAGGTTGGGGATGTGGAAAGGTGGGGAGTGTGATTTTCCCGTCCATGAAAGTATAAAAGGTGGGGGGAGAGTTGACAGCATATGACTCTGTCTAAAGGTCGGTGTTCACGATACGGATGTTCATCTGTAAAATGTATTCAGAATGGTATAATTTAAATCCCCTTTTTCAAGTGATATGAAATGCATTGTAGTCTTATGAAGTCTAAAATTATCCACGATCCCCTTTGAGTTTTTGCTGGTTACAAAAAGTTTGTGTGTCTGTGGCGGTGCGGAATAACTCAATACCCTACCCCCACCTCAAAAAGTGGGGGGATATATATACCCCGCCTCCATCTGGAATTAACGCCCATGGAAATGGTATTTAGAAAGTTACTTGCAATCTACTAATACACAAAAATACGGTTGATTCCAGTAACGTAGGTGTGACATTATCACAAAAGATAGACAGTAGTTAACATTTCATAGATTGCACAAACATTTCAATCAAGTGTACATTGTGGGTACTTGGACGGCTTTCTAACCCCTAACTTAATAACATTCTATTCCATCCACTGCATAGTAACACCAAGTTGAAATTAGACTGAATTAGAACTCAGGAGCTGATTTGGGTCAGGGTGGCTGCCCCCCCTTTAGCTCCAACGCAAAAATTAAAAAAAAGGAGTTGTCGAAGAAAAAGAAAGCCTGGCAAACAAGGGAAAACATTTCATTGTACACACAGGATGTATGTCTCCCAACTGCGTAACTTGCTCAGCTGCAGGCAGACCCATGTCGCTGCAGCGTGAAATACAATCATGCAAGGAGGGGGAGAGAACGCCCATACCCGGCAAAGGAAATACGAAATCTGCACTCGCACATCTCTAACACGTTACCAGCTACAAACCATACAGATGAGACTTAGGAACATGAGTTCATAATTAAGAACGTTACAAGAACAGCCTGTCATTTAGCTCAGAAAATAAAAGCGTCAGGCAGTGCGAGCAACATGACTGATTATTCCAGCTCATTTTACTTGAACTCTCTCCCTATTTTGTAGTCATTCTTAATAAACTTATTCTACGTTAATTACTGGGACCACGTGATTGAGATGATGGTGACTGTTCTTGATCAGGCTAGATAGTCAGAACCTCTGGGATAAAATTGGTTAATATGGTAACATAAAGTAAAGTATAAATAGTAAGAATACCGAATTAATGTTTGTGTATGTGAACTATGGAGATTATTCTTTGACTGGTATAGTAATATTTTCTTGAGGAAATACATTAATTCCATATTTTGCAGGACTTGTAAAATTTGGGACAACAAAAGACACAAAACTAGGACAGCAAAATGTAATTGAAAATTTACGTGGGACTTTGAAAACTATGATATTGTAGAGGTCTTTCTAACTTGACCATTATCTTACCAGTGTTTCAATAAACGGCCATTTTGTGCTGGAACCTACACAGAACATTCTTATTTTGCAACAAGTAGTCAGGACTCTGGCTACTTGCCAGACAATCAATATAAAGCCCCGCTATGTAGAAATCAAAATCTCATCACTTCACGCGAAATACCTGCAGGCTGCCATGGATGCCCACAATTTTCCATAAATGCATGGGAAATTATAGGCACGTGAACCGCTTGCCAAAAATTTAATTAACTTGCTTTTTACATTCGTATTGACGGTGAAGTACATGTTACGGGAAACCATGATATCATTGGCTGCAGTTAATTTCCTCTTAATAGGAATTTTTCAGTGCTTTTGTACATGTATTCTAATGTCCAACGGGCTGAGGTTCAGCTACTCCCACCACTCTTACTACCACTCCCACCACTTCCACAACCCTTTTTAGGCCCACAACTCATCTTCATTTCACACCCTTTCAGAGAGTAATCTCTCCTTTTGTAGGAGACCCACTGTATCCCCTGGTAGTCATTGACATTTGGGCTGCTGTGGTACAAGCCGTTCAAGTTGCTATTGATATTGTTGCCATTATATTTCTTGTACCACCAGCCCCCGTGGAACATTGCAGCGTAGTTTCTACTTCCAGAGCCGTCGTCGCCGCGGTCCTTAGTCGAGAATTTCTGGTCGCCGTGGAGTGAATCACCTACAAGAGGGAAAGCATCATCAAGTTTAATAATAAAGTCCCGTTTTATGGGGAAAACATATATCGGTATGAAATCAAGACCGCTACTTTCTCTTCATTGCCACAAGTTTTGTCTCTCCACCTGCTTAAAGGCAGTGTAGACCATTTGCAAAATCTCAAAAGCGGGACCGCCGGATTACCGGCAAAGTAGGTAAATAACAGTGTCAGGCAACGTGTGGAATTTCCCCGCCGAAACCTGTCAAATTTCGTATAGCAACCGTTAACGGGGGCATAAAAATGTGTGTTTATATGTATTTACCTGTTAAAGGCGTCTATTTTAGACCAAAAAGTCTCCGATTTCTGGACAGGGGCTGGCTCCAAAAATGGAGCTGCGAACCAGTTTTTATTTATTTTTAATTTTTCCCATTTGAAAATTGTCACCGCCAACACTGAAATAGACTGGCCCCCTCACTATTTACAGTTTAAAAGCGTTTATTTACATCCATAAAGACCAAAAAAGTCTCCGGTTTCTGCGGAGCGTGCGCGTCGCCGTAGACCTGCGCGTCTATCTGCAAAGCAAAAAGGTTTTTATTCGGTATATAAGATGTCTGAAAGCTGCCAAACCTGCTTGACCAACTGGAATCCTGCTTTTGCGTAATTTTAATGCATTTAAGATAAGGTGCGGTTGAGCAAAGGAGTCCCTCTAGGCCCCATACATTCAGTTGGGCACTCTTTTTCAGACAACGTCATTTATGTATGATGCATTTACATGTGGGAACCAGACAAACAAGGTGGTCTTATGTCCTATGTGCACCCACAAGCTGAAAACGCTTCTAAACAGTAAATAGTTCATTTTAGGCCCATTGGGGCTTCAAAAAGTTTATTGCCGCTAGGCTGGGTTGCTGGAGTAAATTCCCCCGCTGACCACACAGGCGCTGGATTTACGACCCAGCTGTTTGGTTACAGCTTCATAGGCAGAACCAATGTGTGTGCTGGTCACTTTTGTCTGAGCAGTTTGCCAGGTTGGTTCGTTCGGTTTATTGTGGGATAAATAATCAGTGTTGTTGTAAATTTGTAAAGTATCCTTTGTAGATAAGTCGTTTTCTACATTCTGCAATTTATTTGCAGTTTTGGGAAAGGATGTCACGTTTATTCCAGCCCCTTCCAGTTATTGGGAAAAGATGCCACGGAGAGCGCAAACAAAGCGGCGCATTGCCGGCGCTGAGGGGTCGAGACCAAGAGGGAGGCCTCGTTCAGACCGCATCGCGCCGGCTGATGTTCCGGATGAATCCTCGGCGCCCGTCGCCCAGACGACTGCTGTTTCATCGGGTGAGTCTTTTTCTATCCCGTCAGAGCTAACGCCTAGACCAGTAGTTTCTATCGCATCTGCCCCTGATGGCCTGGCCATTTCGGTTGCGTCTCCCCCTATTTGTTCATTCTGTTCTGTCTGTTACCACTTCGTCGGGTGTAGGGGGTGGCGATGTCACGCCCCTAACAAGTTTTTGCGATGATCTTGGGTCCGGGGTTTCTCAACACCTTCGGGACAAAATTTGGAATTTGTAGATTTTGCGCTTCTCTTGCGGCCCACTAGCAGTGTCAATAGTACCAGTGACTGCGTGTTTATTAGGTCGCGCGATTCCCCAGCATGGCAAATTCGTTCCCACAATCAACCGCCTCGGATCACCTCCGTTGAACAGTGGACCTCGGCTTTTCTAATTTTTGCATCCATCTATTTGATGCGGCACTCTACGCAGGCGAGGCTGCTACTAAAATATGCCGACATCGTCCGTTCGACTGCTTTTCGGCGAGTAGGTTATGGGTGGCGCGACTATGATATTCAATTCAGGTTGCGCCAAGCCCGCATGCCGTCTCGGTCGTGGGCCAGCATTGACGCTGAACTATGGCTAACGTTGGTCGGTGCGCCCGTACAACAGGCTATTTTTCGTCCCTATTCCAACCAGAACAACCACCAACGGGCAATGGGTCACACCAATATTGGGGCAAGCCGCACCGCCCAGCGCGAGCACACTACCAGAATCTGTTTCGATTTCAACCGCGGCCACTGCTTCAGACCCGCCTGTCGTTTTGCTCACAAATGCGCAACCTGTTTGTCCATCGGCCATTCCGCCGCCTCTTGCCGTGGCAGCCCCCCGCTCGGTGCGGGGAGCACTCAGTCCAACCACACCTCCCAACGCCGGAAAGAATAAATAAACTGGGCCCCTTTTTGGCATCATATGGTGACAGGCATGACGCTCAGGTGCTGTTGGAGGGTTTTGCGTCTGGCTTCCATATAGGGTATACGGGTCCTCGGGTTAGCACTTCTGCCCGTAATTTGATCTCTGCTCGACAAAATAGAGAGTTAATAGTGAAATGCAAACTTGACTGTGAGTTACATTTGGGTAGGATTGCTGGCCCGTTCCCCAGTCCCCCATTTCCCAATTTTTGTTGTTCTCCAATAGGTTTAGTGCCGAAACAAACCCCTGGTGAGTTCCGTTTAATTCATAACCTTTCGTCTCCTTTGGGTGATTCAGTTAATGATCATATTGACCCAGCCAGGGCTGCAGTGTCTTATACGACTTTTGATGATGCTGTTGAATTGGTTTCCAGTTTGGGCCCCAGAGCTCTTCTGGCCAAGTCAGATATAAAATCGGCTTTTCGTTCACTCCCTGTTCATCCCGATGATTATGATTTACTCGGTTTTTCGTTCGACGGTTCATTTTATTACGACAAGTGTATGCCCATGGGTTGCTCCATTTCTTGCGCCG